ATGTTAAAATTCTAGAATTTCCTTCCCAAAATATAAGAGCGTATGTGTTTGTGTGTGTGTTTGAAATACCGTATAAAGAAAATGAGATAAAACATAAGATGTTACAATGTTTTAATGTAATCTAAAAATCACTCAATGGAGGAATTAAGAATTATATTCTGAGATAAATAGATATAAAAATGCATATTTAATTCAGGGAGCCTCTATGAGAAGTGAGCATGTACATAGAAGAAAGGAAAACATGATGGGTCTTTCAATATTATATCATTTTCAAGGGATGCTAAAGTTCGTTGCATTAAAGATTTGGGGAAATGTTGAATACAGAGCCATGATTAGAGCCATCATTTATACACATGTTCCCCTGTACACCCCCTCTCTCTCCATATATATATATTCTCAAAAAGTTCATGGAAAATGGGAATTATGAAAAAACTATACATAGATTTCAATTTCCTGTTTGCATCAACATAAACTCATAGTTTCATTCCATTTTCCACAAACTATTTGAAGTCATCCCTTGTATATGTTATTTTATTTCCAAAGTGCAGAAAGCTCCTCACAGCTAAGTAAGAAGTGTGTGAAATGTAAGATTTTTGCGTGATGTTACCATAGCTTGGCTGGTTTCCTGTAGAAAATTAAATTGACCTACCTCTGAGTTTTCTCTGATATTGTCTGTTCCATGCAGAGAGCATTAACTCAGCAAATTATGACTTAATCCGAGTATCCACTTTTAGGAACGAGGTCATTTGAATATTTGTAGCACTACTTATTATTTACTCTACAGATGAATCCTAATTAAGATGCTTAAAAAAAAAAAAAAAAAAAAAACAGAATATGAGATTTTAATGAACACCACTCTCTATTGAACCCAAAGCATTGACTAAAAGAATTTCCATGCTGAAAAGTTAAGATGAAGAGGAAAGGGTATGAGGGCAAGCTGATGAGAGAAGTGGGAAGCCTGAGTGTTGAGAGCAGCTCCTGCAGAGTCCCCCAGGCTCCAGCTCAAGCCTGGACGAGCTATACTTGCCAGGAGAACCTGACCCAGACATTTGACTTTTCTAAGGTCCTTAGGGTTGTTGTGATACTTAAGAGAAAAAAGACAAGGAAAGAATAGTGCCTGCCACCCAGTGACACTCAATAAACATTAGCAACTTAAGACAGTAACATAGCACTTCTGAATTACTCTTTTAAAAGAAAATCTCTAGAAATCACTTCCTCTGTTCCACGCATTTACCTTTTATCCTTTTCAGAACTTAGATAAAAATATTACACGTCGCGTATTTCCTTTAAAAAAAAATCATTGCTTTTTAATCACTTGGAATTAGCTTATTTTCTCTGGGACATTTCACACACCTATGAAGTCTGAGGAACAGTGCATTGACTAGAAACATTTCTTGCATATAGTTCCTCTTGTATTCACAATGTTTTTCTTTAAAAAAGAAATAGTTTTCTATATTGTCTCAGCATTCATTTTCTCATTTCTTTGGTAAATATCTGATGAATTAAGTTTCCTTTTATAAAATGCTCTATGTTATTTGTGCTGCATACTTTAGTGGTGACAAGCTAATAAACAGACTGATAGAAAAGAATTAGTAGTGGAGACGGTGCTGGTAACATTAACTTTCCTTTTTTGTGTGTGTCATTGCATTTCTCTTTGATTTCTCCTCTATCTTCACTGACCGAATGACTTCCATCCCTCTTAGGAAAAACTTCAGTCTCCTTGTGAGAACCTGTAATGCTTGCTCCTTGGTTCTACAAAGGCTATTGTCATTCAAAAGCTATTATTTGATTTCTCCTTTGCATTTACTCATGTTCAAAATTCTCAGCCATTCCATATCAGTTACTTGTATATAAGACTCTTAGCTACTACTGCTTCTTCTTCCTCGTCCTTGGCTTGTTAAATAATATTTTTTGTTCTCTAATGGAAGGAGTTATAATTATTTCTCTTAACCAGGTGCACCATGAATTAATGTCTTTGCAGACTAGTAGATAATATATAATATGTCTCATGGATTATAGACTTTTCCAGAGCAAGGACCTTGCCTTTAATATGCTTGAACTGAGCATTAAGAGCATCCCAGCAAGACAAAAACTATTTATTGAACTAGTAACCAACATTAACTATTTTCAAATTCCACAAAAGCATATGTCCATAGGGAACCAGCAGTTAGCGTAATGGCTATGTTGCTGGACTCCCACGTAGTCGACCGCGGTTCACGTCCCGGACCCGGTGGCTTAAAACTCACGCCGGGCGCGTGTGCGTGCGTGCCCAAGATCCCGAGAGGAGAATGGAGGAGAAGGGATTGCGGCGTGACCATCCCCCCTGGGGGGTGATTTCTCGCTTTCTGTCTCTAATGTCTCTCTCTGTCTGTCTGGCGAGCGCACGTGCCCTACAGTGAAAATCTCTCCCCCCCCCAAAAAAAAAAAAGTATATGTCCATATAAGAAGGAATGTATTGAAATAGTTTTAGATATTTAAGAATCTATATATTTCTCAGATAAAGAAGAGAGAAGTGGTGTATGAAATGTGAGCTTACATTCAAAGCAAATGGGTATTTTACCTTCGGCTAGATGCTCTATTCTTTATAAGCAATGACCTTAAAGGATATTTTTGTTTAATTTAAAATGTGATAGCTATTATTTACTGCATACTAATATTTCATTTTTCTTATTATTTCTTTGACAAATCAACACCATTCTAAGAATTTAATTTAGAAAGAAATAAACTCAAATGAGAGAAGAGAAAAAGCTATATGTAGGAAAATAAAAATAATAATTTATATAGGATAGAAAGATAAAAGCTGATTATAAAGGGGAGAGACGAGAGTGAAAACAATGTACGTTGAAAACAATACTCAAGTATGAATTATTATGAAAAAAGAGAAAAATTTGAGAAAATAAAAAACATTTTGGTAGTCATTTGTCACCCATCAGTTGTGTTACTGTTGGGTCATCAGAAAAGTTATGATATATTTTTTTCTATGTAAAAATGTGTCATGAATTTTTCAATAACATATATATATATAAAATGTAACAAAAACATATATTACATATATAATATAGGTATAACAAAAATATGTATTATGTAAAAATATAGATTTTTATATATGTCAAAAATGCATTTCATTCTAATAATAAGTCAGGGAATGTCATTGAAGAGCACTGGGCCAGATATCTTTGATGGGAGAAAATGTTTTCGGATCAGTTAGATCTCAGAAAATAAAATCTCAAGGCAAGAAGGCACCTGAAATACCAGCCAATCCATCCACCTGGTGCTTGATTCCTTTATGCAACTCAATTTGCTGTCATTTGGAATAGAACTCTACAGGCTTTCACATGGTCGTTACTAAGATGGGGACTGGAAGCTTATCTCACTTGCCTGGAGACTGAATCCAGCTCCCACTAGGACCGTGAGGCTGTCCAATCCACCCCCTTTACACCACGTTATTTGACTTCAACCGTTTCGTCCTTGGCAGCGCCCTCTACTGTTTACTCTGGTAGGCTTCCATTTGGAAAATTCAGTCCTATTTGCTGGCCCACTCCTTAATATTCATTTAGCTTCAGAAATCTATTTTATGCTCCAATTTGGAGTTCTTTTTGTACCTCCCTGTCTGCACTACCCAGAGATATGCTGATTTATAGTTTCCATGAGATGTATCTCTTGAGCTATGATCCTTTACATCCAATTAGTATTAAGCATTTTACTCCTGTGTGTGTTTTATTTTGGAGAGGCTTTTGATACAGGGTGCATACACTCGGCAGAAGGACAGAGAGAGACAGAAAGACAGAAAGTGAGAAATCAACCCCCAGGGGGAAATGGCCACGCTGCAATCCTTTCTCCTCCATTCTCCTCTCAGGATCTCGGACACTCACACACTCATTCCCGGAGTGAGTTTAAGTCACTGGGTCTGGGACTTGAACCGGGGTCAACTACATGGGAGTCCAGTGACAGAGTCAATACCCAACTGTTGGTCCCAGTATTAAACATTTTTGTGTGGACTTTTGCTCAGGCACAACAAATTCTCCCCTCCTACCTGCTTTCTCTCTCTCTCTCTCTCCCTCTCTCTCTCTCTCTTCTTTAACTCAGTAAATTTACACAATCTACCTCCTGGTTCATTACATTACGGATCCAAATGTTTTTCTTATCATTCACTCTCCCCATCCTCACTTCCTTCCTAAGTGTTTCACAAACTCCCTCCAACTTCTCTTTTAGAGTTCCATTTTTCTCATGTAGGACATCATCTCTTTCTCATTTGCTTTCAATTTTGTCTCCTAATCTTTCTGTCCTCAGTTTTGCCTTCTGATAATCCGTTTTCTATTTAACAAAAGGAGTAATGTAAAATTCAAATACTTCTCCATTAGACTGCTCCTTAAAGGCATCTCTCCAGTGAGTAAAGCCAGTAAAATAAACTCCAACATTATATTCTTCTGGAACTAAGCTAGCTTTGTGTAATTAATCCTAGGTCATGGCTTACATGCATGCAAGAAACCCTCTCTAACACCTTTTTCACCAGGCAGCCACCAATCATGGAAGTCTATGTAAGACGATTCACTGATGTGCTTCTGTGAGAGAGTTGCTGAGGGCAGGAGATTTCCATTGGTCATTTTTCATGCTGCATACTGTCTAGCACATAGCAGATGCTCAATGAATAATAATTACCTAAATAAATAAATGCATATGTTAAAACAGTCTTTCTAAAAGTCTTTACAAATAATTTTGCAGAGTTGAAATTAATCCCAATATTTCAATATTTCTCTTCTAGTCTATCTTTTTTTTTTCATTTTGCCTTGAAAGTCAAATAATAACAACATGATTTTGACATACTTGGAGTTTGTAAACATAGCATGATAATTTCACTCAGATAAAAGATACTGAAAATCATCACTCTGTGAATGTACTAACACAGCGTTCATCTATATATAAACTTCTGATGTATATTTGCATGCTTATGTAAGAAAATTTTAAACCTTCTAAGAGAATTTTGTTTTCTTTTTTTACAGGGCAAATATCAGGAGTTACTACACCTGCTCCTGGTAAGAATTATTTATTTTCTGCTGCAAAGTTTATATATTTAATGCTGATAGAATTTTCTGTTATTATTCAATGAAATCACTTTTAGGGACATATCTTTTAATCATTAAATGTTCTCAACATTCTCTTGCTTTTGAAATTTCTTCTCATAGGATATATAGCTTGGTATCTACCTGAACAAATTAAATTTGTATATATAGTTGGGTATTATATATAAACAATAACCTTTCTTATACTTGATAGTAAATCACAGGGCAGGATTCCAATCTTTTTCTAAAATTTTAACACTATAAATAAATTTAAGTTAGATCACAAAAACTTTATAATCCAAAATTAGGTTAAGAAATTAGAGAAATCGAAACAGGTTGGGGAATTAGAAATCGAAATAGTCTGTACATTAGTACATCATTTTTTTAAGAGTAATTTGCTATTTTTAAAGGCATGCAAGAGCTTTGAGGTTTTTAATAATAGTAATGTCTAAATAATAATGTCTAAACTCTACCAGCATCACTAAATTAATAGTCTGAACAAGTGTCCTAATTGTGAGATAAATACATTTAAATGAGAAGATGTTTTAAATAAATTCATATGTACTACATGCAAATTAAGAGAGAAAAATTAGGAAGATTTCATACTCAGTAAAGAAAGCCAGACTATGAAAGACAGGCTTTGTATGTCCCCACTCAATATATTCCGAATGTCTGTGCTCTGTAGCAGAAATAGAAAGACTGGAAGGTATAATAGCAGGGAGGGCAGCTGGAATACTAGAGACAGTAAGGGGTAGACAATAGGCGGAGGGGGGACAGGGATAAAACAAGCAATACATTTAATTGACACAAAAATGAAGTTATTTGCTGACAACAATGTATATGGTAATGTCTTTTTACTGACTAATATGCACTATATTCATGCTGGGAAAAACCATGTTGTATACTATACTGTAAAAATGTATAGTAATTAAACATAAATAATTTAAAAGAGAGAAAAATTAAATTGCATGTGGCTAAAGATAATATCACGTAAACATTTTATTTTATCTTATTTATTTTATTTTATATAATGTTATTGCTATATATATATTACTTATTTCCTGATTAGTCATATGGTTGACAGTATGCATGGAGAAGATAAGTGAAGGCCAGTCCAAGGCATGGTGGTTAAGGCGGCTGGATCCCTTGACCAACAACATTGGGTTTGAGTCCCAGGTCCAGCAGGTTGAAAATCATCTCAGGCGTGTGTGTGTGTGTGTGTGTGCCCAAAACCCAGAGTGGAGTATGGAGAAGGGACTGTGGCCTAGCCATCGCCCTTGGGGGTGCTTTTTCACTTTCCCTCACTCTCTCTCTCTCTCTCTGGGAAGCACATGTCTCCTATAGCAAAATTAAAAAGAAGAAGAAGAAGAAAAAGAAGATAAATTAAACAATTAACACAATTCTGATTTAATTATTATAATGCACAATTTTTTTTAAGAGAGAGAGATTTTTTGCTATAGGGCATGTACACTTTCTGGATAGATAGAGATAGAAAAACGGAAAGTGAGAAATCACGCCCCCACCCCAGGGAGGATGGCCACGTTGCAATCCCTTCTCCATTCTCCTCTCGGGATCTTGGGCACGCATGCACATGCACCCAGCATTGAGTTTTAAGCCGCCTAGTCTGGGACTCGAGCCATGGCCAGCTATGTAAGAGTCCAGTGACATAACCATTATGCCATCTACTGGTCCCACTATAATGCACAATTTTAAATGAGCATATATTAAGTCATCAGGAAAGTCATGGCATATTTTTCTATGTTTCTCTATGCAAAAACACATCATGACTTTCCTGACTACCCAATAGAACATATTCTAAAACATGGGTTATTAAAGGAACTATTTTTGTCATTAAATGAAAATTTATTCCAAATGATAGAAACAAAAAACTACATAAATGCTAAAAATTAGCAATTTCTGAATCTGCAAAAGAAGCATATGCTCTTATGTTTGAAGATCTAATATTAGAATTTTATAGTTTTATAGTATTCAGAAAGGTTTTTAAACAAATGGAAATTACTACTGCATTGCAGCTTGTGGTTGGTTTATGCCATCTAATCAAATACAACCTAGTATGTCTGCTTTTTAACAGAAGATTAAGTTCATCTTAACCATAGGAATGAGCTGTTTTTGCAAGGGAGATATAGGTACAGGGAGGAATGGGCGGGGGTTGAATGTTTACATGGTAGAAGACCTGTCAGAGTTTCCATTATCTCTGCACTTACTCTATTATGACAAGCCTCCAAATGATGGAATGGGTAAGTTAAAAATCATGATCCAAAATGAGAATTGTCTCTCCCAAATACTGCCAACAAGAATGAACTGATGGAAACCAGTTATATCTTTAAGGTGAGAGTGGGTGGGTAGAAATTGACAATTGAAGCCTGTTTCTCTCCTTCCTTGTATTTAATGTATAGCAGACAAAATAATGCCAAAGTTAGACTTTTGACTAAGACTAGAGGTCACTACCAGCCTCTTAGTTGGATGTATTGACATGTAATTATCGGTAAAAATTTATTATCAAGTGGATTTATCTGTGAGTCATTTGGTTATGAAATTCTAGAGACTGAAAATTTTCTCTGCACAATAATAAATATAACAACTGTACTATCGCTTTCTTGAAACGTAGAATAGTCCTGTAAGAGTTCGTGTGCATGGACATTGGGTTGGTTCTTCCTCAGATTTCTTTTGTGTGTATTGAGTGAAAATTAATTTTACCTTCAACGTTAACAAATAAAGCTATAATTTCTTTGTGTCATTTCTATTTCCATTTTCCTAGTTCCCTAGTCAGTAATATCCAAATCTAGTTCTTAAGTCTTTCCTGTCCTATTGCTTCTACTTTTTTCCAGTTCCTCTTCTCTACCTCTTCCTGTATTTGTGATGTGCCCTTTTACCCAATTTTACTGAACTGAATTAATTATAATACTTGTTGGATAATATAGCAGGGTTTTTTTTAAGTGCCAGAGGGCATATGTGTTCAATGGAGAGAGAGAGAGAGAGAGAGGAAGTGAAAACACCCTCAACGGGGTGTGTTCACATCGCAACACCTTTTCTTTTGGAATTTGGGGGCATGCACACACGTACACCTCTTGCATGTACTTCAAGCCACCAGGGTCAGAATTTAAACTGTACTCAGCCATGTGAAATCCAGTTCTCTTAATCACTAGGCCATAATACCAATAATTATGATTATTTAAAAATATAATTTTACAGGGCCAGCAGGTAGTGTGGTGGCTAAGGTATTAGACTTCCACATGGTTGACTGCTGCTTGAATTCCAGACTAGGCAGCTTGAAAATCATGCTGGGCGTGTGTGTGTATGTGTGCCCAAAGTCCCGGGAGGAGAACGGAGAAGAGATTACAACATGGCCACCCCTACTGGAGAGTGATTTCTCACTTTCCTCCCTCTGTCTCTCCAGTGAGTGTTGTGTGTGTGTGTGTGTGTGTGTATTAACACACACACATATATTTTTAATTTAAAGAACTAAATTTTCTTTTTTTTTTTTCTGAGAAAAGAAAAGAAAAGCAGCTCTATAATTCAGGAATCACTGATTTTTTCCCCCTTACTCATAATACAGTGTGTGCACATGAGTGTGAGGGAAAGGGGAAGAGCGAGAAAGAAGGATGAGTGCTTTCCACAGGGTCTGGTCATGCTGCAATCCCCTATTGGATCTTGGCATTCACACACATGCCCCACATGCTTCAGGCTGACCAGGCCAGGGACTTGAACTGTGGTTGCCATGTGAGATCTGGCTTCTCTTGAGCAGTGCTTTCCTGCCGCACTATGGAGCCGGCTCCATGTAAGTTTGTTTGTTTTGTTTTGGATTTGACCTATGTCCTTATTCTTTTATAAAGAAATACAGTTTTTCAGTAAAAGAATACACAAGCAAAAATGGAAGACTTTCAATGAATGATATTTATTTGCCCTGCAGGAAGCGCTGCCATTTGCACACTCATGACAACTGTGCACATCCTATCTCACTACCACCTTCTTACATTTTTACTCACCATATAGTTCTTTTGAACTGTGGACAACATTTTGGTATCTTAAATCTTGTCTCTTGTTATTTTAAAGTTGAGGACACTTCATAGACTTAGGTCATGTCCACAGCTGTTGGTGAATTTTGTTCTCCAGTCCCTTAGCTAGTTTTCTCCTGCTCTGGCTGCATTCAGTGTACTCATTTTTAAAATCCATGTGTACCTAGAACTTTTGCCTTTCATGTTTTTTTTTTTTTTTATGGGACCCCCAGTTCTTCTAATAATCCTCTTCTGACTTTCTCTCTTCTTCATCTATAAGTCTTTTAACATTTCATTTCATCATTTTTACCTAACTTTGTTTTATCTTTCTGAACCCAACTGCTTTGGATTATTGAGAAGCCAGCAATTGAATGGATGGAGGGCAGAGACTAGCTGCTTTCAACTCTATATTCTATTTTTATCCTTAGTTTCTCTATGGATTGTATTATAGCTATGTCTCTATATCTCTGCAGACATCTGTATTTGTATATATGCATGTGTGTACACATTTACAAACCTCTGCACACAGCGCATGGATACCATATGTGTATTTGTGTGTAGATGTACAGATATACATACACTATAATGAAGGGGAGTTAGAATTTGCAGAAGAGCATCTGTTTCAAAATATCATTCCCATATTTATTTTCTCCTTTCTCATCACCCGTTTATATAGCAGGACCGAACACAGTGGAATCCAATACTTCGTCTCCAGGTGCCCCCTTACCTACTCGCACCACTGCATTCTCACCCACAAGCATCTCTGAAAGAGGAAATGACTCCTCAGAGACGTTGGATCCTCTTAGGCCAGGCCGCCCTACAACCCAAGTACCCCTGGATTCTCCGGATAATGCTAGTGCTGTCGCTACGACAGGTTGGCACATAACTGTTGTTGATTGCAATGGTGCTAGGGGAAATGTGTCTTTTTAAAAAATTATTATTATTCCAAAGTTTCTAGAATAGTTTTTCTTTAAATTATGTGTATACTTTCTAAGTATGTGTTTTCGGATGAGTTTATTAAGTGTGGGAAATACTAGGCATCTATGAAATATCGGCTGACAAGAGAAGTGAGGGGATAAAAGAGGATAAAGGAAAGACCCTAGAGACGGATCAGTGGGGGGAAGTCCCTCCAGAGTGCTTCGCCCCCCATATTCTGCCTCGTCTTGCTGCTCACACTGGTCAGGATCCCTTATTTCAGACTTTGTCAGTCCTATACTCTTCAGCAGTTGCTCCAAATTCCTATGGAATACTCTCATTTCTTTGTTTCATTCTAGATTCTGGTTACCAGAAAACTATTGAAAATGGAAAATTTACTTTGGAAAGTCTAGACTGAGGACTAATAAGTTGATTTTTATTATTGGGATTCCTCCCAGAGATATTTGCATTACTTAAAACTATTTCAATTAATCGGTCTTAAGTCCTAATGAAATTGAAGGCCATGTGTCCATGTTCATATCAAACTATCAGACTGATGTGGGAGATAAACTTTTGCCAAGAAACACCACTAATGCTCCTTGCATTAATCCAGAATTCAGCATGAACACTGTTATGTTTAGCATTAGGCTTGCCAGTGTGCTCAGCACATAAATCTACCATCCAGAGGGCTGTTTCTGCTTTCCTGAAACATTGTGCTAGATTCACATTTTATTAGGATAACAGGCTTCTAGACATAGTCCGATAAAAGAGATAAGCTAGTTGAACTGTTTAGCAGAGTCATTTATCTTAGTTTGAAAAATAAGCATAAATAACACTATCACAACAATTTTGCTTGGGTTACGTTGCCATGACTTGAACACCATATTGATGAAATTTGTTGGCTATACAGAGTGGGTAAATAAAGGGTCAATACCTTCTTATAATGATTACAGGACTGAATGTTCTATCTCTGCCCCACGTTTTCCTGCCATGTTAGCAGAGTTGAAGAATGAAAGGACTGATGGTTGCAAAGACCATTTTTGGCTAACCATTTTTATTGCCTGAGGAGTGTCATATAGGACTTCCCACTTTAAAGCTTCCATATTTCATTTAGCATATGCAACATTTATAACTTCTTATTCTCACTTTTTTTTTTTTTTGGAGAGGTTTTTGCTATAGAGTGTGTGCGCTCGCCAGAAAGACAGAGAGATAGAAAGCGAGAAATCACCCTGCCAGGGGGGATGGCCACGCCACAATCCTTTCTCCTCCATTCTCCTCTCGGGATCTTGGGCATGCACGCACACACGCCCAGTGTGAGTTTAAACCACCGGGTCCGGGACTCAAACTCCCACTACATGGGAGTTCAGCGACATAGCCATTATGCTAACTGCTGGTCCCTTATTCTCACTTTTTTTAAAACCAAAAACACTAAATCCATTTACAGATATAAATGGAGCAAAATGTGGAGGAAAATTTTAAAATAGAATAGATTGGAAGTAAGAATCATTTAAAGATATTGACTTGTTCTGGTGTAATACTGCTGATGGTAAATGAGCTTGGGAAGTTTCTGATAATTTCAAATAAAGCAGCACATTTTCTTTTCTAGAGCATAATCTTGCTGTCAGGTAATCCTTCAACAATCTACTGGGGTAGTCTGTGTGTGTTATTTATTATATGTTTAGAATTGTCTTAAACACATATCTGTTTAACATTGACACATATTGTGAAATACAGTGTTTTTAAAAACTGTTCATCAATACACTTAGGGGGAAAAAAATCCCCACTCTACTTTTCTAGCTATAATCCACAATATTCAACACTTTCCTTTTATGAAATTGATTATAGTAAGCAGTCAGATGGACAACATTAAATTTAATTATGTAATATTATTTTTCACAAATAGTTTGTGCATGTTTTAAAACATTTCCAATGCAGGGTTGTTTATGAGTGTGTTGGGAGATTCAGGTATGACCATTTCTGAATCTTTGCCAATGCTTAATACCATCACTCTTATAAAAAACTCTGCCAATCCAATACTTAAAAACATTTCGTGTTGAGTTACAGTCCTTCAGTTTTCACGATGAGCACCATGTCATCTACTTTTGACCGCTGTGCCAGCTAAATGTCTGTCACATCTGTCCTTTCCTTTGTGCATATGTTGGAAGATTCCTTTCTTATTCTCCCAGGAAAGAAATGTCTCAACTTTCAGTTTGTAGAGCTAATAAGAATGCAAAAAAGCTCAGTGATTTGAAAGTATTAAAAGCAACCAGCAACGTGATTGCTCCACTCTGTTCTGCTTCCAGCCCCAGGTGTGTGTGTGTGTGTGTGTGTGTGTGTGTGTTGCGGGTGCCTCCCAAGGATGTGTGCAAACCAAGGAGAACTCGGGTGCAGTTTTCCAAGAGAACTGAAATACTGGCAGACACATTGTAAGAGTTAGGGTCGCTTCCCAGTTTGGTGAACTGTAGCAGCCATGCGCTCTTTATAAACTTAGTGTCTGAATTTCCCATCGCAGCGGGGAAGATTGACATGATGATCTCACTTTCTCACCTCAGGTGTTCCATCAACCCAGACGCCTCACCTTCCCACGCACGCAGGCTCGCAGGCGCCCTCTCCTGGACCTGACACTCAGACACTGGGCAGCGAGGCTGTCCTTACCGCACTCACGCCTGCTCCAGGCAGGAATGACACTCCAGGTTTGCTTTCCTTCAGAGCCGCGCAGACGTGAAGGGCGTCGCACAGCTGCCTGTATCCGCTGGTGGTTTCAGAAACGCCAGCCACTTGTCAGCATGTCGCTCTGGCTGGCGGATGAATTTGAGATTTCATATGTTAGTGGTTACCCTTCGGATCTGATGCCTCATAACTATGGTCTTTTTAATGGAGATGAAATCATGAAGATTAAGAATTGTGAGACAATGAAATAGCGAAAACCTGCTGGGGTGGGGAACAGTTATTCAGGATATTAAGTTTCTTTATATTTGGGACAATGATAGTGAAAACTTCTTTGTGTTAGTAGTAAAGAATAATATGAATCTTTAATTACAGACCTTCTACCAACAACCCAAACACAAGAAACTCATAAGAGATAGTTACTAAAAGAATGAAAAAAAAATGAAATAGATGTTATTATTTCCCGTTCAAACATCAAGAGGCTCTCAGCTCAGTGACTCTGCATTTATAACAATGAATGAGAAAGATTCCCTCCCTTATTTTTCCCCTACCAACAACCCAAACACAAGAAACTCATAAGAGATAGTTACTAAAAGAAAGAAAAAAAATTAAATAGATGTTCTTATTTCCCGTTCAAACATCAAGAGGCTCTCAGCTCAGTGACTCTGCATTTATAACAGTGAATGAGAAAGATTCCCTCATTTTTCCCAAACTATGTCTAAATCACCTTCCCGATGCCCCTACATTTTTTTAATGGCCAGAAGGTGTGCGTATTCCTAGAAAGACAGAAAAGCAGAGAGGGAGAAAACACTCACCATTGGAGTGTGGTCTTACCACAATCCCTTCTCCTCCATTTCTACCTGGATTTGGGACATGTATGCACATGTATTTGGCATGATTCTCAAGCCACAGGGACAGGAACTCAAACTGTGGCTAGCTCTGGGGAATCCAGGTCCCCTAATCACTAGGCTTCAGGACTGTCCCGGCACCCCTCCCTCCTTTTTTATGCTGAAAACACAAGCACATTCTTTCTCAGGTCACAAATCATACAACCACATACATGAATGAAGGGACCTAGTGCTTCATGTTACAGGTATGGAAGTCAAAGGTATGACTGAAGTGGCCTTGCTTAAAGTATGACCCTAACATGGAAGCCAAACACATGACTAGATGAATTATTATTTTAAAGTATTAAAACAGATCCCTTGGCATAAATCATTACAGGCAATCCATGCACTTCAATGGGCCGGGGGGACTGAACTCCCCTCACTGCCTCCTCTGCTCATTCCAGCTGCCATGGGAACCACAGGAAAAAAGACTTGGCGCTTTTAGCACATCCACACACTCGGAAGTTCTGGAGGATAAGAAATAGTAAAATAACCAAAGAAGACTGACCCCTGGGGTTCATTGTCATAAAATTGGCCTGCTTTGCCCTGATCAAGGAATTCTTCCTTTCATGGTGGCTATTTCCTCTCATAAAAAATGTATTTGAATCAATTAGCCTAATTAAAAGGATAAATGCCACTCTGAAATCATCATTGAGATTAACTTATTAACAAGGAAAAAGTAGTTACTATGTAAGGAGGGAAAGTAGAGAATTTGGCGAGGCTAAGAATGGGTACCTTTGGGGACCAGCAGATGGCATAATGGTTATGTTGCTGGACTCCCAGATGGCCAACAGCGGTTTGAGTCCTAGACCTGACGGCTTGAAATTCATGCCAGGCACATGTGCGTGCATGCTCAAAATCCCAAGAAAAGAATGGAGGAGAAGGGATTGTGGTGTGGCCATCCCCCATGGGGCGATTTCTTGCTTTCTGTCTCTGGCAATAACATGAGCCCTATAGAAAAAATCTGTGTCTAAGAAAAACAATATGGGGACCTTGGAACAGCATGAAGACAAGGGATGCTTGGGAAGCTGAGGACCAGGAATTAGTGAGAGGGGGAGAGAAGAAATTGAAGGCTGAAGACAAAGCCGGTGGCATTTAAGGCTTTGCAGAGGGCCAGTTCTATGTCTACATGGGATCCTGTGTCTAAAGCATAAGTAAATATACTTTGCCACTCTTCCCCGTATTCTGCTAGAGGTCCCATCCGGGGACTCGGAACAGAAAAATTGTTCATGGGATTCCTTCTGTTCTGCAGTTTAGCTACATTTGGGTGGCTTTTGAAGACTAAGTTGAAAACCCAAACTTGGTTTTCAGAAGATACATTTCCAGTTCTAGGACATGTGTGTGTGAGATGAGGAACTGCTCTTGGTTTGCAACGGGAAGGTTACCACACACTCATCCGAGCCATTTGCAGAACGTGCAGGCCTGTCTTACTGCTGACATGCAGATCTGAGTGCAAATGTGAGACTAATATCCTGTCACTGAATCAATGACCCTGGGGACCTTGACGTTGAACTAACCAAACAAGCTTGTGAGCAGGGGCTAGTGCATATTTCTTTTGCCTTTTCTATGGCAACTAGCACAGTTCCGGTCATCTCCTAGGCACCCAAATGAATATGCATTGACCCCCGTGCTGTAATTCTAGGTGTGAGGGCTGGGGGCAGATCTAACATGCAGTAGGTGCTTTGAAGCCTGGCCAGGAAAAGTCCTGAGCACTAAGTGCAGTTTCTTTGGCTACAGCACCAATAGCTCATGTGAATTTGGAAAATAAGGACATGATAGCAAAAGAATGTAGGTTTCTTGGTTCCAAACCGATGTGTTTTTTTTTCTTGGCCAGGAGAGTCCACATAGTGAATGTAGAATTTTAACCTTCAGCTGGAAAGGAAAATAAATTCTGAGCTCAGCTGCTGCACAAGCTGAAGCCCATTCAGCTCTATTTAAGAACTAAACACCTGCACCTGAGGGTCCCTGCTGCACCTGTTGAAAAGCTCCTGTCTCATGCTAGGTTGCAGTTCTTCCTGCACTAACATTAACGTGGTCTTTTATACTCGGAGCTCTATTGCCATCTGCATGGCCTCAGCCTCACCAGGACAACGACCCTTTCTACTGCTTTGGTGCATTTTTTTTTCTTTTTCATTTCCTTTTTTCTTTTTTTTTTTTTTTTTTTTTTTTGAGAGGATTTTGCTATAGGGCATGTGTGCTCACCAGAAAGAGACAGAGAGGCAGAAAGCATGAAATCACCCCTCCAGAGGAGATGGCCATACTGCAACCCCTTCTCTTCCATTCTCCTCTCTGGATCTCGGGGATGCATGCACATTTGCCTAGCGTGAGTTTAAGCCGCTGGGTCCAGGACTTGAATCATAGTCAACTGCATGGGAATACAGCAATGTAACCATTACACCATCTACTGGTCCCATGGTTTGATGCATTTTTAATATGGCCTAAGGCTAGGAGGTTTGGCCTCCTTGAGCTGTTCAGCCCAACATTCCTGAGGCCCCAGGTATTTTCTAAATTTATGCTTGATTATGAAGCTGCATAGATTTACAGGTGCCTGCCCCAAAGCCCTTCTTTCCCATAAGTACTGGTATTTTCAGTAGGGTTTGCAGAACTCCTATGTTGTGACGGAGCAAAAGGGCTTGACTGCTTGCCACTCTGCCTTAACTTCAGGACCACATTTTTACTGGCTTTCTGCCCATGGCCCCTAGGGGGCAGGAGTGAGTGACAGGGCCAATAGCCTTTATGATTGCAGGTGTTCCAGAAGAGAGGAGCCCCACCAGCACATTTTCTGCAGACACGGCTTTGCCATCAGTAGCCACCGCCATCCCTGCACGCAACAGCTCTGCTGCCTTACCTGCACGCACCGCTAACATCACCACCACAGACAACACCTCAGGTGGGACTAGAGGCGGGCTGGGAGGCCCCAGATGTTCCAGGTGGTAGACGAGGATGTAGAAACACAAAACTTGAATGCAGTTCTTTTATTTGACTCCAAATTTTATTTGTGGGTTCCCTGTTTTATAAATGTTTACATATTGACAATAAATTAGGCAAAACAGACTCACTAGTAAGATAAACACACACACACACACACACACACACACACATTCTTTCTTCTGTAAATGAGAAACTCAGAGAAAGAGAGAGAGAGAGCACTCCCAACAGGGTCTTGAAACTATGACTGAACCCTGGATCACAGGCAAGCACGTGCTTGGTGTTTTCAGGGAGATCCCAAGACTGGAGCCAAGAACCTTCCCATATGGGATCGCCTCACAGAACTTTGGATTCTACTGCTGCACTACCATCTAACCTCCCACCTCATAGTTTATGTTTATTATAAAAGGTCATGGCAAAGAAGAATAGATATTAGAGTTGAATGCCACATGGCCTTAGGATCAAATTCAGCTTCAACCTTTCTAAGACAAGTTACTAGTAGTAAGTTACTAATAGTAAGACTCCTTACATAGCACTGAGAAGAGAACTGAGTATGTAGCAGGTCTGGAATGCAATGAGTCTTATAAAAGAGTAACTGTTACTGTGGTTAGTATCCAAAATAAGGAGAGTTTAATGGAAAAGGGACAAGAATAGCTTCAGAAGGTTTGTACATCTGGTAAAAAGTATGCCAAAGAATGAAGAATTTTCCTTCAACTTAGTGTTAATTACTCGAAAGACTACTTATCTGCAAAGGCCATTATCAATAATTTTTTTATTTGCTTTGTTATTTTTGAGACAAACAGTATTGATTTAAATAAAAAATGCTTTAAGCAAAGATTCAATTAGGAAATTATTTTTGCTGAAGAGTTTTTCCCTAGTCCTTCCATATGACGAAGTCATTAACCTTTGCCCTCTGTTCATTTCCTTGCAGATGTGTACCTTTCCTCCACTGCACCATCCATTCCGAGCTCTACATCCACTGTCATTCCAACCACAACAATAGGTGACAACCTTACCCTCAGTCATGCAGTCATACCACCCTCGTGTGCCTGGGGCATGCTCCCAGAGTGTCCCTTACCTTCTCTTCCTGGGGCTCTTTTCTTTGAGAAATGTCATCTGGTCTTCTAATCCAGAGACCCTGGAACAGCAATTAGACATATATCTATTTAGCCATGCAACAGCTGGGGAGACCAAGCTATCTTGTGAATGTAACGTGTCTGTAATAACCCGTCTATTGTATTAGCACCCTGTAGGAGTCATGTACTTCATCAAACACCTAAGGGCAATGATCCAATCTGCTAGAACTTGGTCCTTTAAGAGTGGGTTTAACAGACACATGAATGAAAAGTTATCTATTGATGAGATTGTATACGGTAGTATCTGACTTGATTGATATTCACTGCATCCATGATGGAAAAAAAGCATTTCATACATGGTACAGATGCACAATGATTAAATGTATATTTTTTAAAAAGTGTAAAATAATAATAATAATAATAATAAAAAGACCAAGTTTAGGTGTTAGCATGGAAAAGAACAATTCTCTCCAGGAGGCGCTCCATTCCAAGTGGTGAGTAACAGAGATCTGACTGCAGGGTGCGTAGGCACAGAGAGAGAGGAAAGGAACCTCGAGCGAACAGTGAGGGCAGTGTCTGCACATGCGTGAAGATAGAGCCTGCAAGCCCACCGTGCCCTTCCCAAGTTTTCCAACTCAAAGACAAGATTAGCAGAGATTCCTTAGCTTCCACAAAGCATTTTCCCGCCAAATTCTTAAGTTATACCATATACCCACGCAAGACACCACTTCATTTGTTCAGAGGGCAATTTATTAACCTGAATCTGTATACTCTGGAGGAGCTTAAACGTTAAACTAGAGAACAAAGCAGCCCTTGTCTATTGTCTAATTAAAAATAAAAAAAGTATAAACTTCACAGGAACTACGATCATGGAAGTCTGTTTTGAGATTGAACAAAGGGTTGAAAACCTTTATTTTTGGCTCTGTGAATATTTGCCCATAGTACCTTCAGATGTGTACAAAATGTGTTAATATCATTACTAGTCCAATTGTGTTTATTGTATCAATTCATGAAAATGCTTTATGGAACTAACACATTAGTTTATTATATTTGAAGTTGTGAGATCAGAACATTGTAGCTGGAAACCTGCATTACCTGTTAGATCTAACTAGAGAGATATTGCAGTTTATGAAGGAAGATTAAACACTGTAAATCACTTTTCCCCTAAAGTGAAGATAGCAGATCTATTCTAAAACAAAATCTTAATAACTTGCATTTTTTTTTCTATTACAGTTATGACTACACCTAAACCATCCTGTGGTAAGTGTGATTACTTAGAGATAGTATATAAAACCTTGGGATAGCACTTCATTTTTCCCCTCATCTCAATCTTTCAAGACTCAGTAGCTGGATCAGCAGATGGCATAATGGTTACGTTGCTGGACTCCCACGTAGTAGACTGCGGTTCATGTCCCAGACGCAGTGGCTTAAAACTCATGCTGGGCGCGTGTGCGTGTGTACCAAAATTCCCAAGAGGAGAATAGAGGAGAAAGCACTGCAGCATGGCCATCCTCTTGGGGGGCAGTTGATTTCTTGCTTTCTGTCTCTCTGTCTTTCTGGTGAGCACACGCACCCTATAGCAAAAATCTCTCCCTAAGGCAAAAAAACAAACAAACAAACAAACAAACAAACAAAAACAAAAAACCTCTCTCTCTAAAAAAAAAAAAAAAAAAAAAAAGGCTTATTAACAAGCTAAACTCACTGGCTCTGATTTCCCACCAATACTCAACTCCAGTTCTTAAGAACCAGAATCCCAGTGGCAAGAAGCCTTGATTTCATTTGCAGAGTTGCAGAGCTAGTTTTGAGTGTCATGATTAAGAATGACTAGCTAGATCCACTCTGGTGGAGCCACTTAACATCAACTTAAGTATTTGTAAAATGGAAAGATAACGAGTTTGTTTGGCGTGAGGGCCAGACCTTATGTGAGAGTAAATTTAAAAACGTGTGTAACATCAAGCTTTTCAAGAAGGAAACTCTCTCTGTTGCAGTCTCCATCTTTTCCCCGTCTCTAGGTCGCACTAGGGCTGATTCAAAGCAGACACTGAGCACAGCTCGAATCCATCCTATTTTCTTCCTCTCTCAGTGGAAGCAAACTCCTGCGTTATGCCCAGATCCTATCCCACCATTTAACCCTAAATCTCACCACTCAATTCACTGCCGTCACTCACTCCCCATATATTTTTTTGTTTAATTCATGTGATCTTTTATGATAGGGTTTCTGTCCGCCCCTCCTGCATCCCTGCCTCCTTACTATCTTTCTTTCAGTGGTGTGGAACCATTTATGGTTTCCTAAGCACACATGCTCCTTCCTGCCAGTGTCTGCCCAGCCCTTCCTCCTCTACCCTGGGAACCCTGCCCCGCCGTCCTCCCTGGTCCCCATATCTGTTTTCCTATTTCCTGCTCATATTCTAAAACACGCAGAGTTACCATCTCTGGGACGCTCCTACTCCTCTAATCGAAATAGATCCCTCTCAGCTTCCTCTCACATGCCTTTGTGCATAATCTTATTTCAGATGTTTTTGTGTCTCCTGCAGTTCTCATCTTCGTTAGACTATGAGCACCTCAAAGTTGATCATGTCTGATTTCCCTTGGTATTTGCTTTTGTGTTTGAGACAGTGTCTTAAACATAAGAGTTTAATATTTTTTGAAGAAAAATGAGTGAATAGATTAATACTTATGGAAGTTATTTTTCAACAATCAGCAGAAATTGTTGACATTAAAGAAAGCTGCTTAAAAGAGTGTATTTTCTTTTCTTTCTTTTTTTTTTTTTTTTGGAGAGATTTTTGCTATAGGGCGCGTGCGTTTTCCAGACAGAGAAAGACAGAAAGCAGGAAATCGCCCCACCCCCACCCCGGGATGGCCACGCCGCAATCCCTTCTCCTCCATTCTCCTCTCGGGATCTTGGGCACCCACGCATATGCGCCCGGTGTGAGTTTAAGCCACCGGGTCCGGGACTCGAACTGCAGTCGACTACGTGGGAGTCCAGCAACATAGCCATTACGCTAACTGCTGGTCCCAAGAGTGTATTTTCAATAATAATTTTACATAAGAGAAAAAAATGAATGAGGACCTATTGTATCTGAGTAATTATTGTTCTTCATATTTGGAGAAACTGACAATGAATCACTAGGTTTTAAACAAGGGGAATTATAAATCTAAAAAAAGAAATTTATCAGATGCATCATTCACTTGTGCATCTATCTAACAAGCAATTACTGAGTTCTGGGCTAGCGCCTAGTAGTTAAGGGAGCCAGAACCACCATGGCTGATGGTACATTTGAGTCCTGAGTCCAGTGGCCTGAAAAACTTGCTGGGCATATGTATGTATGTGCATGCCCAAATCCCAGCAAGATGGAGAAATGAAGAAGAAGGGTTTGAGGCATGACCATCCCCCACTGGGAGTGCTTTCTCCTTCTCCCTCCATGTCTCCCTGCCTCTCTTTGGTGTGTGTACATATCCTTGGGCCAAGAAAACAAGAAGTAAGTAGTATTGAGTTCCCACTAATCACATATTATGCATGGATCTGGATTTATGGTGATGATCAAAATAGACTGAATTTTGCTCTCATGGAGTTTACAGTGCAGTCAGAAAGACAGTCAACTTACTCAATTATCATTCGAATATAAGTTAACAAGCTGAGATTCTTGCTAGGGACATAAGGTAAACAAGGTTGTGAAAAAATAATATGCAAACATCTGAACTATTTCCTCTATTTTTCATGTTCATGGAAATATTTTATTACTGGTTTGATATTTGTGAAAATATATGTTAAGGCATTTGCATTTAATGTAGTTTTTATTCATTTGGAAAGAAGGGATAATTCTCACTGTTCAAATATTTTCTTTCAGGTGAAAAATTTGCAGCAATCTCTGTGGGCTATGAATATGACTATATAAACCATACTTACAGTGCCACGCTCAATGCTACTGAAACAGTGGAATGTCAGCCTGAGTGTATCAACAATACCGTGCATGGCCTAAAGGAGTGTGAAAATATCGACATTTCCATATCTCATACTTCATGTGCTTTTCCAAATAAAATAGTATCATTGAATGTGCCACCAGGTAAACATTAATTTATTTCTACTCCTCTTGTTACCAAGGCAGTGTAGTTACACGTGTGTGGCACCCTAACAGTCACGGGAACCAGCCTGCTGAGAGGACAGGGCTGAGGGATGAGTCAGCAGCGTATGAGTTGAACATTCCGCTGTCCTCACCCAATACAAGTTGTGAAGTAATAAAAGCCTTCTGTTCACATCTCTGAATGGCTTCTCTGCCTGGTACAGAGGGTTCATGTAGATTAGATATATTGATAGCTTATCCTTCCAGGTGATGGTCCACTAACTCGATCTCTTTTGTGTATTTTAAGTCATCATCCTCACACACCCATACATACACATACCCCCAGAAACAGTTTGGTCTGGAATATATTAGGGGAAAAACTAAAGTTAGGAATTTGATGTCATGGAAAGAAAAGAATCAAAACACTTTAATAAAAAAAGGAAAGTGGTAGTCATAGTAAAGCAAGCAAGTTGGTTTTGCCCACTAAGCGACGAGTGGGTGAGGGAGTGGGTGAGGACTAAGAGGGTGAGGTAGACTGCACTGAAGCATTTCATAGCAAAATGAATTTTGAAAAAGGAATTCAAAAGCTGCCTCATGTCATTGAATAATTTGAGGTTATTAATTGATTTATTAACACTTAAGTATGTTGAAATTTGATGTGTTTAAACAATTTATTTAATTGATTTATTTTCCCTAAATATTACAGAAATAAATCATCAGTTGAACACAGAAAATGACAATATTTATGATGTGTGTCTGTAGAGGGCAACCCTTACTACTCTGTGGAATAATTATTCAATTAAAACTCCTAGTAAATGAAAAAAATGGCAGGCGTAAATCAGCATATAAATGGAATGACTGTTAAAATGTCAAAAAGTGCCATTTTATCTAGATGTTTGCTTGGGATTCACTTTTAAAAGTAGCAGAAATTCTAAATGAAACACTAGCAAAAGGTATAGATAATAAACTAAATATTCAAGAAACATCAAGCTGTGAGTTAGTAGTCTTTTTCAAAAATACTCTAAATGCTTGCCAAGTGCTATGTTTTGAGTATAATTACAGTTACTTTAATTCAGAATATGCCACACATAAAAAAATTGATCAAGCGTATTTTTGATCTTCTTCTTGACAGATCCTACAGCCTTTGAGCTGAGAAACTGTACAATGGATGAAACAGCAGATACTACTATTTGTTTAGAATGGATAAACAACTCTGCTTGTGAAACAGAAGCATTTGTATACTTGTTTAAATGCAGTAAGCACATAATATTAAGTAGATTCTTTATCTGTGTTAGGAAGCTGTTCTAGTTGTCATTTAATTTTGTTCTTCCATCTTTCCTTCCCTTCTTGCTGTTTCCTATCTTTACTTTTTTTTTATGGTCTGTACTATGCTTGGAGTTAAACAATTACATTATCTGTAGCACTCAAGCAAATTCACACAACAGGTAAATACTTCCCTAAAAAGAAATATTGAAAAAGTATAAATCAATTAATTTACAAGAATTTTCTTGGTAACTGTTATACATACACAAGGCATTGTTGAAGTGTCTGATACGAACTGAATGATACATACACACTGTTTGAAAGAAAGAAAAAAAATGCAAGATTACATGGTTTGAGAGTTTACTGAGTCGGACAGTCAGTCCCCTACCAATAGCACTAATACTCAGGTTCAAGGATACTTAGGACAAGAAAACAGACTAGCAACAGCAAGTGCTTCTAGGAATGAGTTTGGATCTAGGGGACCAGGTAGCATTTAAGTGTTCATTAATGAGATGGAATCTTCTACTACTTGCCATTGAGCCATCTGTTTGGCATAACTGACAACACAAACAGCTGTGCATATGCACACACGGACACACACATGATGGGAGGGTGTATGATCACATACTCATCATGGGATCATCACAGCCAGATGGACGGTTGTGACATAAACAGTGTGAGGAAGGGAAGCAAGCAATGTATGACAGCCTAACTATAGGGAAGTGGTCCCCCTAGAAAATCTATTAGGCAAAGGCTGACTAAGGTGTAATCTCAGGAATAGAGAATTATGAGCGAATGCTTCATTCTGTCCATCAAGTTAGGGATACTCTCCAATGAAGTTATACTTGCTAAATAGCTTTTTAAAAGTTGAGTGTAGCGGGGCTGGCAGGTGGCATGGTGGTTAAGGGCACTGGACTGTAACATGGGCTACCGCAGTTTGAATTCTGAAACTGGTGGCTTGCTTTCTCACTTTCTTTCTCTCTCTCTCTGTCTCTCTCTCTGGTCAAATTAAAATAAATAAGCATATAAAATAGATAAAGTTAAATAAAATAATTCTTTAAAAAAATTAAGTGTAGCAAAATCATTTTTAGAACCTTTGACTTATTGTTTTAATCATTTTCACAGGTTTTCAACCTAGTGTATATTAACGAGTATTATAAATATGAAATCTGAATATATATGTGATAGATTGTAATACACTCACAATACTTTCTTTCAGATACTTCATCTAATGCAACAGTTTATAAACAAACAGCTGTATTAGAAAACCTTAACCCCAAAACTAAATATAAATGTGATTCACAAGTATTCTATAATAACCAAATGTGGAAAAATGAAAGTAAAGTTATTGAAACAGATTATGGGGGTGAGTATATTACTTACTACTTACACTTATATGTAAAATTGTTTTTCTTTTCATGTTCTTAAAATTCTTTGAGAGTCATAGAAAATGATAGAATAGATTTAGAAAAGGGATTTCAGAAAACAAAGTTCTAAAGGTGAATTTAAAACTAGATTACACAAAACCCAAACTTCTGCCACTTTTGTTTTTTTAGGGGGAGGGAGTGGCTGTAAATTGCAGACTGCTGTAAGGTTGCATTGGAAACACCCCTTTCTTTTTTTCCTGCGGTATCATTTCCTTCCTGGTGTGCACTGCCACTCTATCCAATCACACCTCTGATAGAAGTAAAATGAGCAAAGGAACTAATAAAGCCCAGTGATAAATCCAAGTATTGATGGCAAAATAGTAATCATGACTACTACATGATCAGCAATATAAACAGTAACCAGATAATAATAACCAGTAACCACTGGAAAGTAGAAGTCTGGAAAAAAATAGCATTAAAGAAAGGAAAAATGAAAATATTACATTCCAGTCTTATTGGAATAGAGAAGTATAGAGTCCAATTAAATGTAGAATCTGCTAGAAAATGTCAATTATATGTGTGATATTTTATGAATAACTACTAAAGAAATAAACAAAAATAGATGGCATTGTCTATAAGCTAGAAGAAAATGGTAAAATGAAAAAATTCTGTATCCATTGAAGGATAAGGGGAGAAGGAAGAAGAGGAGGACAGAGGAAGATGAGGAAGAAAAAGACCAAAAAAAGAGGAGAAAAAGAGAGGAGAGTAGACTAAATAGAAAACAGTAGATAGGCAGAAATGTCACAGCATATAGAAGAGCACAGTAACCATAAATGAGTTATACAAATGTATGGATTTGAATAAAGACATGTTTTTCCTTTTTTTTTTTTTTAAAGAGGTTTTTGCTATAGGGCATGTGCACTCACCAGATAGACAGAGAGAGACAGAAACTGAGAAATCACCCTCAGGAGGAATGGCCACACCGCAATCCCTTCTCCTCCATTCTCCTCTCGGGATCTTGGGCATGCACGCACAAGCACCAGGTGTGAGTTTAAGCCACCGGGTCTGGGACTCGAACTGCAGTTGGCTACATGGGAGTCCAGCGACATAGCCATCATGCTAACTGCTGATCCCAATGAAGACATGTTTTGAAAGAATTTTGTCACCTTAAAGAATGGGAAGTAATACTTTAGAAGAAATATTATCACCTTGCTATACATTGAATGAAAATAAAAGCAGAAAACAAATGCAAACACAAAAGTGAGAAAATAAACTTTGGAGCCATATTACTGAAAGAGGAACAAATAAGTAAAATAAGAATTTATTTACAAAAATAAAGGTTGATTTAAAACAATATGTATGAGAGAATGAAAGAGAGAAAGTTTGAGACTGAAGTTTTGACAAGGTTGTGAGATGTCTCAATCTTCCTGCCGCAACCTCCCAATTAGTTCAGGGTGTGATCACATCACAATCTTCTCTTTCGTCTTCCATTTGGTTAGGCTTTTGACTATGCATGTCCATCAGCCCGGTGTGTTTTTCAAGCCACTGGGGCCGGGATTCAAACCATGGTTGGCTATATGAGATCAAGCTCTGTTAATCATTAGGCTATGGGGCTGCCTCTGTTTTTATATTTTTAATCTTTTTAATTTGCATATCACATCATTCATCTTCTTAAAGTGTAGAATTCAACAATTTTTAATGTATTAAAAGTTGTTCAACCATCACCTTTAGAACATTTTCAACACACGAGAAAAAAATTCTCTCATCTTTTCATACTCACACACCATTTTCCCCCAGTTCCCTAACTCCCAGATAACGAATCACCAGTCTAATTTCTGTCTGGATGGATTTGCCTATTCTGGACATTTTGCATAAATGGAATCATACAATATGCGATTTTTTTGCAACAGACTTCTTTCATTTAGAATAATGTTTTCAAGGTGTGCTTGTATTGTAATATGTATTAATCCCTCATTTTTAACTCTGGATAACATCCATTGTGTTGATATACCTTATTTTTTTTTTGTCACTTTAATTGGTCAAGTGACACTTAGGTTATTTCCACTTTTTGGCTACTACAAATAATGCTGCTTTAAATATTTGTGTACCTGTTTTTCTGAACACATGTATTTTCATTTGTATTGAGTATGTATCTAGCATTGGAACCTTTGAGTCATGGGAACTATGTTTTACATCTTAAAGAAATGTCCATCTATTTTACAAAATGAATGAACAAATGATTTTACATCCCCACCTGTAATGTATGAGGATTTTAATTCCTTCATATCTTTTTTTGGGGGAGGGGCTTTGGGAGGCAGAAGGCACTAGAAATAGATAGTCAGAGACTAGGGGAAGGAAAACACCCTCTAAGGTGCATGATCACACTGCAATCTCTTCTCTTCTCTATCCTTCAAGATTTAGAATACATGTACCCAGCATGTTTCTTAACACACCAAGACAAGGACTGGAACTGCAGTCATCCATGTGGAATTCAGACCCTAACCACAAGACTACAGTGCTGGTCCAATTTCTCCGTATCTTTAGCAACACTTAGTAGTGTCTGTCTTTCTTATTACAATGGTGCTAGTAGATATGAAGCTAAATATCCTTGTGGTTTGAATTCAAATGCCTAATAATATTGAGTTGCCTTTATGTGTTTATTGGCTATTTGTATATCTTTTATCTATTCAAATTCTTTGCCTATTTTTAAATTATATTTTTCTTTTATTGACTTGTAAGAGTTACACCTCAATCCCTGCTCCTTAGTTCTCCTCTTGGAAGTTGTGGGCATGCATATACATGCACCCAGTGTGTTTTTCAAGCCATTGGGTCTGGGACTCCAACTGTGCAGTTGGCCATGTAAGATCCAGCTGCTTTAAACTCCACACCACCTGCTTGCCCAGTAATTTACTCTAAAGCAAATCAAATAAACACAGATGTCTTTCTTCAAATGTCATTATTAATTCATAGTTAGTGAAAATATGGTTATTGTTAATGCACATGGAAGGAAGAATGTTTTATCCATGCCTCACTTTTCTACCTTGCCTCTTACTCTTTCAACAGCTCCTGATGAACCTAAGAATTTTACCTGTGATTTTGATTCCACAAATGTGAACATTACCTGGCAGGCCCCCGGAAATGCATTTCATAATTTTTCTTTTTGTAACAAGATGAAACAAGGTAATTTGTATACAGTTTAATTCCATATCAGGAAAAAGACATCAAGAATTTGAGAAGTGCTAGAAATGTGGGCTGAGCAAAGAGCACCTGCACAGAGACTGTGCACGGTGCCTCACGGGCCATGAGCTCAGAAATGCCTTCATTCTTCAATGGTTTTCCAACTGCAGAAGTGCCCAGAGCCCAGAACATCCTCAATATTTCCTTGTCTTTTTTTTTTTTTAATCTGTCTTGGTTTCAATTTTTTTTTTTTGGAGAGGTTTTTGCTATAGGGTGCATGTGCGCTCACCAGAAAGACAGAGACAGAGAGACAGAAAGCGAGAAACCATCCCCCAGGGGGATGGCCACACCACAATCCCTTCTCCTCCATTCTCCTCTCGGGATCTTGGTCATGCATGCATATGTGCCCGGCGTGAGTTTAAGCCACTGGATCTGGGATTCGAACCACGGTCGGCTACATGGGAGTTCAGCAACATAGTCATTATGCTAACTGCTGGTCCCAATTTTTTTTTTTTTTGAGAGGTTTTTGCTGTAGGGTGCATGTGCTTACCGGAAAGACAGAGAGAGACAGACAGAGAGACAGAATATGAGAAATCACTCCCCAGGGTGTGGGCCACACCACAATCCCTTCTCAACTCCATTCTCCTCTCAAGATCATGGGCATGCACACACACATGCCCGGCATGAGTTTAAGCCACCAGGTCCAGGACTCAAATTGCAGTCAACTACATGGAAGTCCAGTGACATAGCCATTACGCCAATTGCTGGTCCCTCAATTTTTATACTCTAAAACCTAGAGAAAGAAAATCTCTGAAAGATAATACTCAATATTATCTTTCAAATATTCTGTAAGGGATCTTAATTGATTATTCAGGCCCCAAAACAAACAAGTAAGCAAACATCTTCCAAAGCTTGCACCAGCTAATACATACAAAATATTGCAAAATGAAGGTGAGCATAGCTCTGTGTAGCCATGGAGGCTTGTTTGATGGCATCTTTGTGTGTGTGTGTGTGTGTGTGTGTGTGGGTTGATGTTATCTTTTGGTGTGTGTGTGTGTGTGTGTGTGTGTGTGTGTGTGTGTATGTGTGTCCCAAGCTTCTTTATTTAAGAACAAAGTGGTGAGTGTGATGGGGATCAAAATCAAGAGCGTCATTTAACTTTGACTTCCCTCCAACCAGTTTCCCCAAAACTCCCAACCGCCACCCTTTGTGTCCCCACTGTCTTCCTTAGTGAATGAAGAATATGAAGAACTCGATCCCCAAAGCCCTGGTACCTTTGAATGCAGTCATAGTTTAGACAGTCACAGAAATATAGTTTAAAAATGTGCCATTTTAGTACAACTGCAAAAATATTAAAATGAGAGACTTTTTAAGAGAACCAACATCTCTTGAACAGCTTAAAGAATCTACAATGTTTATAGAAAACAGTGACCATCCCTGAAGTATCTCACAACAGCCTCAACACCTGGGATGCTCTTCTCTAATTCTTTATCTATAGCTTAAGGTAAAATTGACATGATGTCCCACTGATTTTCATCTCTGTGTTTGGTGAGGAGGAACCACATAAATATAAACATTTAAAAAGTAAAAATAAAAGAAATTTTCAGCATCTTATTTTGTATTTTGATAATATCATTTTAGCTAATTCTCTGAAGCTTAATCAAACTACTAAAACAGAGTTACATGCACTTGTAGTTTTTAAATGAGCCTAAGAGGCTTCAAATGCTATGGAGAAGAAATACAATGCATGTGAGTTTATGATTGTTTCAGATGTTAAGTCCATAAGAAAGGAAAAATGGAAATTCCAGGAAGATAAATAAGCAATCAAAATGAACTGCCCTAAACACAAGTGCACTTTGTTTTTTGTTATTTTTTTCATTTTTGTCATTCATCTCAAACATTTGCAAAGCTGAAATACCCTTCCATTTTATCTAAATAAAAGAAAGAAGATAGGTTTACAGTATTGCTTGAGCAATTTTTAAAACTCTCATTATTTCAAATAAAATTACTATTCAACTTCCACAAGAATATAGTCTATCAGATTTGCAGTGGGTATTACTTTTTATTTGGATATTAGATTCCATTTTATTATTTCAAACTTTATTTCAGTGTCTGTGAAAGCTAGGGATTAAGGGAGGAGGAAAACTCTATCATTTAGTTGGTTTCCTTACGTTATCCAGGTTTTCATGACGTTTTATTTAAAGATTTTAGTAACTATTTTCATAATAACTCTGGGAAAATAGGTGCATACATAACTTCATAATCATATGATAAAAGCAAGGGTAAAAGAATTGAAGGGTTCCAGTACAACAAGGTGTCTTCTCTACTCCTGTGTTGTTCAAGTTTTACACGTTGTCTTAGGGAACGGAAGTTTATTTCATTAATTTAATGATGCCAAGTGACAAGGACGTTTTGCTGATAATTGAGAAAGGGACCTTCTATGCTCTATTGCACTACAAGGAGTATTTTTCAGAATTTATTGAAACAAATATGGACTCTTCAAGATATCAATGATGTTGAAATTACTTTGGGTAATGCCTTTTTTAGAGAAGAACTTCTCTCCTTTTTGATAGTACAAACATCCTTAGGGGATCAATAGGTTTATGCCATCTGAAACAGTGTCCAAGAAGAGCAACCCAAATGAATAAATGGTTAATGGAGTTCCTGGGTATTTTCCAAAAAACCAAAGAAGTAACAAGTGGAGAAGACAGTATCTTACTAGACTACTCCAGCTCTATTCTTACGACCTGAAGGCTGGACATGTCCCTGTTGCCCAGAGGGGGAAAAGTCAAGATCTAGTCAAATCAGTTCTTAATTTGCTCCATACGACTTGTTCTTCTGATGTCAGAGTTCTGAGAAAAAGGGTCCACATATGTAGAGGCAGAATGTTCGTGAAAAATAGTTTGGCCTTTTAACTAAAGCTTGAAATCTTCAGTAATTGAAAACAAGCATTCCAAACCATCTTTCTAAGCAGTGAAATCCTTAAATACTGTTTTTATTTCCTTAAAACAATGTCTTTTGAACAATACATTGTTCAAAAGGAGTCGACAATTTGACTTGTGTCTCCCTAAGATAAAAGCTTTATGGAGCTACATAAATTGAATTCATTTTGATACGAACAGTTGAGATTACTTAGGTAAGCACAGAACATTACATCACTGCATGGAAGCCACACTGGTCTTGAAAATGCCCTCTAGACACTTGGATTCTATCCTAATGAGAAGGTGGGCATGGTCCTTATAGCCTGACTCCATCTGCAAAGTTGGCAGAAGACAAGAGTGAGAGGTGTTGTCACTTCCACTCTCGAGCTCACACATTTCCTGCCCTCAGAGAGAATTCTGACTAGGACAGGATGGAACAGAGAAGGTATGTATACACAATTAACCCAAATTTGGGGGATTTCTGAGAGATAGACACAGTAGCCATGCAAGAACACCTACTTTTTCACACTCTTTAGAATCCCATGGTAAAGTAAAACTCTTAGGAAAACCTTCACTTTATTCACAGAAATGAGCCTGTATTAGACCTTTTCCTACAAATCCATGGGCTCCTCTGGCTGCATCAGAGAAGTGGGTACAAGATGAAGTTGCTCCCTCTTCTACACCTGACAGTAGCTCCATTGTGAAGAGCAGAACAGGAACTCTAGAGCCTCAATGCCTGGCTTCTGGCCCAGCTTCATTCTTCCTTCCCCAAGAGGTCACAGACAGATGGCTCCATCTCTCTGAGGCCCAGTTTTCTCATCCCTAAAACTGGGTGATACCTAGAGCACCAATTTCCAGGACTGGTGTGATGGTTTAATGAATTAACTCATGTACACTACTTGTTTTCATCACTATTCATTTTTTACTACTTTTATCACTGTAGTTACCACCGAGTAACCTACCACCTCTCTAATCTTCCTTTAGTCCATCTTTTTTTTTTTGGAGAGGTTTTTGCTGTAGGGTGTGTGTGCTCTCTCCAGAAAGCCAGAGACAGAGAGACAGAAAGCGAGAAATCAGCCCCCAGGGCGGATGGCCACACTGCAATCCCTTCTCCTCCATTCTCCTCTCAGGATCTCAGACATGCACGTACATACACCCGGCATGAGATTAAGCCTCCGGGTCCAGGACTCGAACTACAGTCCAGTGACATAGCCATTACGCCAACTGCTGATCCCTTAATCCGTCTTTTCTAGTGCCATTTATCTACTTGAAAATAATCACTGGTTATTTTACATTTAACAAATGTTAATTTTTACCTGGGTGTTAAAACACTTAACCAAGTTCCCGGCTCTTAGAGGTCCCCTAGCCGGAATCCGCTGCCAGGCTTGTCCCTAAACTCACTTGTAATGATTTCTCTCCTCCCTTTCACCTTTGTGGTCTTGTTCATTTCTCTGTCAGTATGGAGCCCCCTCCTCAGAGCCCCATGATTACTGTAGTGTTTTGCATAGTAGCACAGATCCAGTTATTGGTGGTCAAATAGACTCCACATCTCAAGCAGAAACTAGTATCAAATGTGCAAAGTTTTGAGGCTAAGTAGCAGAATACAGTAATTATTCTGAAACATCTCAAGATTTTCATAATATCCCCTGGAGTGGCTGTGTTTTCTCCAAAAGAGAAGCAACATCTTCACAAATAGATCTGAATGTATTACGTATGTTATGTACAAATGAATGATATGAAATCAAATTTTTTAAAGATTTGTTTTTTATAGTAATCAAATTTGTTCACGACACTTGCTGATCATTGCATGTACTTCTGAGTATCAAGGATGTACTTATGCTGCCATCATTTTAATTTATAAAAGTCTGCTTGGAGAGACCAAATTACATGTCTGGTTATCCTAACTAAATAACAAACTTTTCCTTTCTTTCTTTTTTTGTGTGTGTGTTTTTGTTTTGTTTTGTTTTTTGCTTTTTATTTCTTAGATGACTGCCACTTTTTGTTTTGTTTTGTTTTTTGTTTTTTATTTCTTAGATGTCTGCCACGATCTACATGCAAACGATACTAGCTATGTTTTGGGAAATTTGGAACCTTATACAGATTTCTCGATAACATTACGTGCCTGCATCAGTGGAAGAAAGATACGCTGTGGACATGAAGTGGTTTGTATGAACAAGACAAAACCAGGGAGTAAGTCACGTGTTTGAGGATTTCTTTCCATGATGGGCAAGGAACAGAACTTGAACTTTTCAGCTTCTGCTACATTTTTATTTATGTATCCCTGAGGGAAACATGTTTGTTCACACCCAGGGTTTATCATTTAAAATAATTCAAAAATTGTTATCCTGAGTTCTCTGTGTTCTTCAGAAATAGTCATAGACTTGTATGATAAAGCAGGAGGTTCTATTAACTGGCACATGGTAAGATTTGAGGGAACTGGGCGACCCTGTAGCATGGTGCTCTAGGTGGCTGGACCCCTCATGGCCAGCTGCACGGTTCGACTTCTGGACCTGGGGGCTAGAGAAACACGCTGGTGTGCACATGTGCCCGAAATCCTGAAAGGAGGGAGAGTTGTCAAGAAGAGATTGCAGAGGGACCAGACCCCGTATGGGGTGCTTTCTTGCTCTCTCTCTCTCCCTTTCTCTCTCTCTCCTGGCAAATGCACACCCCCTTGAGCAAATTTACAAAGAAAAAAAAATCTAGACAATTAATTACCTAACCAACTTTTAAAAAATTAATTACCAGGACCAGCAGTTAGCGTAATGGCTATGTCACTGGACTCCTACGTAGTCGACCGCGGTTCGCGTCCCGGACCCAGTGGCTTAAAACTCACGCCGGGTGTGTGTGCATGCGTGCCCAAGATCCCGAGAGGAGAATGGAGGAGAAGGGATTGCAGCATGACCAGCCCCCCTGGGGGGTGATTTCTCGCTTTCTGTCTCTCTGTCTCTCTCTGTCTCTCTGTCTCTCTCTGTCTGGCTAGCACATGTATAACAAAAACCTCTCAAAAAAATTAATTACCTAACTGATTAAAAAAAGGCTGTTGTTATCACCTTTCTTGTCTAGAAATATTAACTGCAATCTGGCATTTAATCAAGACCACCTCATAAAACATGAACTTACCTCTCTTCATCTGATTAAACACCTCGTAAAACATATTTTGTTAGTATTTTCTTCTCTTTATAACAATAAACTACCTACCCTTTTATCTTATATCACATTTTCCATTGGAAGTTTCTTTTCAGTGGCATTTGGTTCTTGCCACTTGTATGATGCTCCATATTTTCCAGACCCCAAGCTAGAGCTGCCTCTGGGGTAAACGTTAAGCTCTATTAAGACATAGAGACACTCCCAGGCCCTGAGTACCCATAGCTCCAGGGACTCTGACAGGCGCCAGTTTCATGAGGAAAGTTGAGCTGTTGGAGGCTGGATGTAAAATACTATCATGTAGGCTGTGGTTTGAAAAATCCAGGCCTTGGAACTTTATGCTTTTACTGTCTTCCTGAGTTTCTGTGAAATCACAGAAAATGAAGATAATTTGTTGCCAAACCTGAAGAATACAGCAGGTGTCTACCAGGGTCATGAAAGCACTTCAGGAAAGGAAGGCCTGGATTATGTGGAAGATTCAGAGGTGCCCTGATCATCCCCACCTTTCTCTCCCCTTTTCTCTATAATTCTACATGCTCTCCTTGGGGAGCTGGGAGTTGCCCTGAACTCACAGGACTTCAAGTACAACCTGTCTCCTAATACTTACTAAATGAATAAGTGATGTAGTTCACGGTATTTAGTTACAGCTTCTTTAAACAAATGATTTGCTTTCATCATTTTTCCATCCATACCATCAAATTCACAGGTAAAATATTTTGTGCTACACATAGATATTGTCAAGGAATTCAAACATGCATTTATCATATGGCTAAAATAACACATATTTCTTTATTTTGATAGAGCCAAGCCAGGTCCAGGATATGACTGTCTTCCTGAAGTCAGACAACAGTGTACTTGTCACCTGTAAACCCCCTGAGAAACGGAACGGTCCTGGTGAAAACTACCATTTGGTAGTCCCAGGAGTTCTACTTCAGCCAAAACCTGTATGTCATTTCTTTCTAGAAAATCTTCACTATTCAACAGACTATAAGTTTCAGGTAAGGTTATGGTTTCTGTCATCACTGTAGTATTGATATAGAGTATAATGATTACTATCTAGTGCGCAGATAATTTTAAAACCAGTTTTCACTAGAGCTTGTGAAGGTCTGATGTCTAAAACAATCGCACTTCAAGAGTCTCGGAGTTTTATTTTGTTTTCATTTAAAAAATATTTTTTTAATGATCAGAGGGTCATGTTTTCACCAGAGATAGACAGAAACAGAATGGCAGAGAAAGGAAAAGCACACTTCTAATGGGGTGTCGTCACACCACAATCCCTTCTCCCTTTCTTCATCCTGTCACGATTTGGGGCATGCGTGCACAGGCACCAGGCATGTTTTTGAAGCCACTGGAGTCCGAATTTGAATGCGTAATCAGCCATGTGGGATTTGGCTCCCTTCACTCAGTAGTTCAGTTTTCTTTGGGAAAGCTCTTTGGAGATTGATACTGAACGCTTTGTCACATGTGCTGTAATTTTTTTTAGACTTTTATTTAATTTAATTTGTTATTATTATTTTTAACTGAACTAGAGAGAGGGAAAGTCAGAAAGCCAGCCACCAGGTATGATACTCAAACTATGGATGACCATGTGGGAGTCCAATACCTTAACCACCATGTCACCTGCCAGTCCCAAATTTTGTTTTTTCATAGTTTAGTCCCTCATACAATTTTACAAGTTTTGTTTATACTTTTAAACTGATCACTTTCATTTCCATTTAATGAAAATTTTTAGAGTTAACTGTTCAATATGATGCTGGCAATTGACTTCATATCCTTTCTTACTTACAAAAGTGTTTGGGGGACTAGCAGATGGCCTAATGATTACATCACTAGACTCTCATGTAGTCGACCAAGATTCAAGTCCTGAATCCAGCAGCTTAAAACTCACACCAGGCATGTGTGTGTGTGTGTGCTCAAAATCCCAAAAGGAGTCTGAAGAAGAAGGCATTGTTTCATGGCCATTTCTCACTTTCTGTCTCTCTTTCTCTGTCTCTCTGGTTGCCTTCACCAGAGAGATATAGCAAAAATATCTCTTATAAAATGGTTTTATATTTCTATGCTCTTTTGTTTTATTTTTTTTTTAGCTGGACACATATATTGAATTTTATCATTTTTTTATGGCATTACATTAGACGATGGCATAGTTGTGATGACATGGTGTGATTTATTTATATGGTGAATTATAGTGATAAGTTTTCTAATGCTAAACCATTGTTGCATTCTAAGGGGGAAGACTTCTGCATTGTGCAATATTGTTTTAAAATATTATTAAAATCAACTATTTAGTCTGAGTGTGAAGTGCAAAGAGAAGAAACTTTTAACAGACAAAAATGTAAAGGTCTCTGTTGAAAAATGTATACATATATTATATATTTCCTAATGTGGATTTCATGTAAAGTGAATCTGAAAATTAAAAACATAAAAAATCAGCAATTGAGTGTTTTACTCGGTTTTTATGATTAGATATTCATAAATGAGATCATTTGATAGGTAGGCAAAGGTAGTGCTGGTATAGCGGTGTGTGCACATCTTTTCGGTCACACTTTGGTACAAAGGTTATGCTCACCCAATAAAACACATTGGAGAGATTTTCCTGTTTTTCTATGTTTTATTGCTTTAGATAGTATAAGAATAATTTGGTCCTTGGAAAATTTGTCTTGATTCTTCTAACATAGAGGACTTGTTTGAGAACCATTTATGTTTTCTTTCAACACAATGTCTTTTCTGATACTTCACTCTTTTTTGTTTTTTGTTTTTTTTTTTTCTTTTGGGGAGGAGAGATTTTTGCTATAGGGCGTGTGCACTCACCAGAAATACAGCAAGACAGAGAGACAGAAAGCGAGAAATCGTCCCCCATGGGGGATGGCCATGTCACAATCCCTTCTCCTCCATTCTCCTCTTGGGATCTTGGGCGTGCATGCACACGTGCCCGGCATGAGTTTAAGCCACTGGGTCCAGGACTCAAACCATGGTCGACTACATGGGAGTCCAGTGACATAGCCATTATGCTAACTGCTGTTCCAGTGATATATCACTCTTTTTAACTGAGTTTATCATTTATGTTTTTCCAAAGAATAGTCCAGGTAAAATATTCTGTTGATAACATATAATCATACATTACCCTTTATTTCCCACAACTTCCTCAGAGTCCATTAAGCTGCAGACACACTGGTTTCCTTCCAGCTTCTCAAATATACCCAGGTTTCGCTCTCTTCAGGCACCTTAGCTCATGCTCCTCTATCTTTCTAGAATCTTCTTCTTCTACTCTTTAACTCTTATATTCAGGAAAAATATAATTGAACATTGTCTTAAAATACAATCTTAATATTCAAACTAGGCCAGTCATGGTGACACTGCAGTCATGTGAAGCTCTGCAATGTGGAAGCCAAGTGGCAAGGTCCTGGGCTGTGTGTCCTGAGCTCTCTCAGCATACACTGATTGACAGGCATGCCTGTGATCTTGGCTGGCTGAAGCTGGGAGCGAATCATGGCATAAAGACCTATTAGGGTGCTCATCTCTCTATCTCTCTTTATCACTTTCCTCTTTCTCTCTCTCATGGAAAAAAACTGAAAAAAATATTCAAGCTAGGAGATATTTCAGTTACCCGTTCTCTTCCCCTGCTCCTCCACAGACTGTTTTTTGATTGCCTTTACAGTAACTTTTTAAAATTATTTTTATTGCCAGAGTGCACACATACCCACCAGAGAGAAGGAAAAAGAAGAGGAGAGACAAAGCGCCCTGGTGAGGTGCTTTCGCACCACAATCCTTTTTTCTCCATTTGTCCATCATGTCAGGATTTAAGGCATATATATGCACATGCATCTGGCCTGTTTTTCAAACCACCAGGGCAGGATTCGAATTGTGGTCAGCCATGTAGGATCTGGCTGCCAATGCACAGCACTTAAACTTAGACTACCGGGCCAATCCATAACTTGCCTTTATGTTGTTTTCAGTCTCTTCTGCTACATTCACGAGGAAGCAAGCGATCATTACAGCTTTCTTCACCATTGTGATCTCTGGTTAATAAGTTAATAAAACTGATTAATTATTATTTTTAACTGTCCCTTCTAGTAGGTTTATTTTTATGTTCTTTTGGTAGCTTTTAGGTTAAAAGTCTCCCCTCCCTCTTATTTCTCTTTTTTAACTAAAAAAAGAAAGAAGACCATAAATTACCCTTTGGTAAAATTTTGACTATATTCTGCATCTAAATTGTTTATCACAAATTTCTGGGTGTAGGCACATGAAATATAATGATTGAATTGTCAAGTAGAATGTTCTTATTGTTGATTCTTCATAAAAAGCCTCTTATAGCAATTGGGAGAGTTCTTAATTTATTTTTTATTTGGGAGTGTTCCTGGCTGACCCTGTTGGTGTAACCCTCATGAGCTATGCAGAAGGAACCAGATCCCGCATGGCCAACTGTACTGAAAATTCCTGCTTAGGTCGCTTGAAAAATATGCCAGGTGCATGTGTATACATGCCCCAAATCTTTTTTTAAATTTTTATTATTCATATATTAAATTGCTATACATCATTTAGATTGTGAAGAGACTTTACCCAGCATGATTTACACCTCAGTCCAGCCCGGTTGAGACTATTATACACATCCTTGTCAACAAATAATAAACCTTATCTGTGTCCCACAAATCTTGATGGGATGAGAAAATGGAGGAAAAAGTATTGTGGCATGACCATCCCACACTGAGGAGTGCTTTCTCTCTCTCTGGCATGAGCACATACTCTCTGGCAAAAAAGACAAAAAATGTGTTTCTACATTTCTGTGCATGAATTTGTTATTTCTACTAATTATCAATTTAATGGCTTTACAATTGCTGCTTTTTAGAGGAATGAATGTGTAATTCAATTTATAATAAAAGTTTTTTTCTGTGACTATAAAGGAAATTATATTATATTATAATTATCACAGGGTATATATAGACATATATTTATTAAGGTTATTAATTTATTATTAATATTTTTAAATTCTATTATTCAGATTAATTTTTGTCTACAAATTTTGGGACCAAAAAATTGCTTTTTGCTCCATTCAGTTTCCCTGTATATCTAAATTGTTTTACTTTATGCATATTTAATATTTTGAGGTACATTTGTATTTAATAGTATATGTATTAAATATTATAAATATGATTACTTATATTTGTATTAAATATGAAGCTAGTTAATTCTATATTGTAAACTTTGCCCTGGATCCACTTAACCTTAAAAGATTTGATGTGCAGTTTTATGTTTAATTCTTATAAATAGCGTATGGTTGAATTTTCTTTTTAAATAAAATGTGAAACTATTGGCCTATTTATAGGAAATTTTAAACTTTAATTTGTGAATATTTTGATGTATTGGATTTTTAAGAATCATTTATTTAAATTAATTAATTAATTAATATTATTGTTTTCCCACCAGAGAGAGAGGGAGAGATAGAGAGAGAGAGAGACAGAAAGTGAGAAAGCAAGCCACCAGGTCCAAAACTTGAACCAAGATTGGCCATGTGGAAATTCCGTCACCCTAACCAGCGTGCCACCTACTGGTCCCATGATGTATTGGATTTTATTTATTTATCCAGTTTCACTTATTCTTGCTTATGATTAGCTATTATTACTATAACTACTAAATGGTCTAAGATTTCTTGATATCATTTTTACTATGAAATATTTCTTTTCAAAAATGCTCAACAACAAACTATTGACATTAACTTGAAGTTTCACCTTTGAATTGAACCAAACCAGAATACTTTTCAAGAAAATAAACAGTATTGGATGAGAAATAGATGTTTATTTCACATTATAATATAAAAATTGCATTAGAAAACTTAGTTATTTTCTTTTTTTTGTTACTGAATTTCAGATCTTTTTTCATAATGGGCACTATGAAGGAGATCCAGTTACTAAGTATCATTCAACATCTTGTAAGTCATTAAGAGCTACTTACTATAACTACATTAAGATATGTATTAACCTTACAACCTATGTTATTTTATACTTGCACTCATATTTATTTATAAAATATTTGCATGATGTATTTCTCATAAATGTAATATTTTAAATTGTAAAGAAAAACATAGGAGGACTCTTCAGAAAGCACATAGAAAATACATATTATGAAAAAAAGTATGCATGGATTTCAAAATATTTTCCACCCAAATAAATTCGTACTTTAATGCTATTTTTCAATAAATTTTTGAAGTCTCCTTTTATATATATATTGATGAACATCATACTAAATTGCAATATTTTCTATTCAAATTAGGCCATTCAGTTATTAAAGGATTACTGATTTTAGAAAATAATTCATGAGGATTTATTTACACAGACTATTAAATTATGGTTCTTTTCATGTTTATAACTTTGTTTCTTCATGTGTATAACTTTGTTTTGTGTGTCATTTTAGAAATTGTTACCCATTTTATTTTATTCTGTCCCTCAAATCTATCCTGATTTACCCCCCTTGAAACTAGGTAATATCTAGTAATACTCCCTATTAGCAATATGGCTAGGTACGCTTTTATAATATTATTTAAAATATTGAAAGCTGGCTGAGTGGTGCTGAGGTAACATGCTGCACCAGTGACACCAGATCCTTATGGGAGACCTCCAGTTTGGTTATCTGGTTGACCTATACCTACCAGGTACACATGTTCATGGTCCTGGCTCACCAGGAGGCCTGGTGGGATGAGGGCAGTCACAGCATGAGAACCTGTAGAAGGTGCTTGTATTTTTTCCTGTCTCTCACTCTCCTGAAAGAAAGAAAGAAACTTAAAACTTTTTTCAATTATTTTAATCAAAGAAAATGTGCACATGAAAACATCACTTCAATGTCATTATAGTAATGAAAGTAAGAGCTATATGTCACATTTCTTGCCTACTGTTAACCATTTTCAACCATTTCTCTGTTCAGTTCTCCTTACAGTTTCTTCTCTCTCTGTATAAACCAGGCGGTATACTGCCCTTCCTAGAGTTACTAAGATTGCCTATTGCTAGGAGCCTAGCAGAGGAAGATGGTGCACTACATAGGCTTTCTCTGCCTGTTAATGTAATTAAAATTACATTATTTAAACCTCTGTGCTTTGTCATCAAACACACATGGATTCTGGTATCTTCACCACTTCCAGGTCTTTCTTCTTACATACATAGACACCTGTACGATCACAGATGCTTTCTTTTCCAAGAACAAAAAGAAGTAGAAAAACAGCTTGTTTTCCAAACTGCTTTACTAGGTTCTGCAAAAAGTGTTAGTTCTTGCTCAGATGTATGGAATAAAAGTGCCTAATATGATATATTATATATTCTGAATAAATTCACCAAGATGTCTTTGATCCTATTTCCATGTTAGCCCTTTCTTTTGTAAAAGCCTTACCATAAAAACAGCCTCATTGCTTTTTTCCTATTATGCAAATAATCTATAGCTGCACTGTTCACTCTTGGTGGTCGTGGACTCAACTGAACATTTCCCACTCATACCTTAGTCAGTGAAACCTGGGATCATTTTACTCAGAGACACAGAATAGGAAAACTCTTAGCACAGGCGGTCTGAGTGTGAGGACCCTTGCAACAGAACACACAGCAGTCCAAGGACTACGTTTTGAGCTGCCCAAAGGCAACTTAGCTGTGAGAGAATGAGACCACATGTGTGGGGCAGGGCTGCATTCCAAAGAGAACACGTATCTCATAATACTTTCATGGACCGAACTTTCAGGCTGGCCAATAGGAATATCCTTAGTCACAGAAGCACACTGTGCTTCGGAAGCCTGCACTAGAACTTCTCCAATATATTCATGAGACTCCATGTTCAGATGCAGTTTAGGACTCTGGGATTCTTTTCTTTTCTTTTCTTTTTCTTTCTTTCTTATTTGCCAGAAGGCCTGTGTGTTTGCCAGAGAGAGAAAGAGAGACAGAGAGAGGGGAAAAGCACTCCCAAATAGGGCATGGCCACACCATAATTCCTTCTTCTCCATTTCTGGATCCTGTGAGGATTTGGGACATGCACACACATGTACCCAGTATGTTTTTCGAGCCACCAAGGCCAGGATTTGAACTGCCAAGTAGGCCAGGTAGGCTCTAGCTCCCTGAACCACTAGGACATAGGGCTGGCCCTGGGTTTGTTGTTTGTTTGTTTGTTTGTTTTTTCCATTAGCAATGTTGTCCAGTAACACAATGAGTATTTCAGTCTTATCAGATTCCCAGGTTAACAGAATTAGACAGTTATCACATGTCCTTTTCCATAAAAGAGAAAATAAAATTATACCTACTCTTTGCTCACAATGTCATTTTCATAAGAGAGAGATAACATAGCTACTTTTAAACAGTGACAGCTATTCCAAGGAAGAAGTTGGGTTGTGAATTTCCCAGAGGATAAATACTAGAAATTTTTGGTGGAATTTCCCTGATAGAACACCCTGTCTCCTATATTTTGACAACATTCTCTGTTGAACTCCTATGGCTGCTTTCTCTCCTGCTCAGGTCAGGACTCTTATCTGCCGTCATGAAATTTTCCCTCTTCAGTCTGCTGATTTATGTTTGCTGTATTTGGAACTGATGAAGTTTTTTTGTTTGTTTTCTTCTGATATTACTGATATAAACACATTCTAATGTGAGAAGAAAATATTCTAATTCTTACATGCAAGAAAATATATTTTTTCATTCTACCACTTTCATCAATATTTTGATTTGGTATAGAATTCTAAGTTTAAAATTTAAGTTTTAAATTAGTAATTCTGTTTTAGTCTCTGTACCCAGTATTTCTAATGCCATCAGTTTCTTATTTTGGGAGGGTGGGTAGGTAGATAGATAGATAGATAGATAGATAGATGCGCACACATACACACCACTAATCACTGTTATATGTAATAGTTTTATGAAAGAAACTTGAGATAGAGTTAGGACAAGGAATGTTTTCTGTTATTTTAGAAGCCTATTGCATTAAGCACTTCTTTCCTAAAAACATTCACTAATATCTGCCCATGTATTTACATGAATCTGTCCACTAAACAGCAAATCCTCCTTTAAAAAAGGTAAAATAATTTTTAATTTGTAGATGAGGAAACTTAAACTTAGATAATTTAATGAATTTATCTTAAGTTTTGAGTCAAAGAAATGACCAGTATTCAAACTCAGGTTTGAATTTGGAATAGTCTGTATTTGGAATTAATTTTCTATATTCCTGTCCATATGAGTTTCTATTTATAGAATTATTGAGCATGAGCAAACTTCCTGGGAGCTGTGAGCTCAGTGGAGCCATTTCCACTTAGGAGGTAGAAGTATCTCAGGTTCAAAAGGACCTTCACTGACAATATAGAAACTAGATTCCCTTACGTCCTTACCAATCTCCTTACTTTTTAAAAATAAGGAAATAAATAATTAATTTATATTTTTATTTACCTTTCTAATGTGTGTTTTCCTCAAAGAGAATGCAAATTTCTGGGAACTGGTACATTTTTGCCTTACATTCTGCTGTATCTCCACAGACTCTTCCTTATCTCCACAGCCCTTACCATCCTCTAATCGTCATTACCATTTGCTCATTTATTGTGTTTATTATTAATTCTCTACCTTTTTACACTCAAAAGTAAGTTCCACAAAGACAGGGATCTTCATTTTGTTTTCTTAGTTATCCTAACTATGTAGGGCAGTATTTGGCAAATGGTGCCCACTCAAAACACGTTTTTTTGTGAACAGTGAATAAAGAGTACCTAGACTGTCCCAGGCACTGTCCTGGATATCTACTGTGAATTTATTTGTGATTCCTATTTTAGGAATTAGAGAATATGCAGACACAAAGATAGGAAGGATTCTGTCCAAGTTCCCAGCTAGAAAATGGGAGCTCTGAGTCTGGAGCCTGAGGAGCCGACCTCGAGGTGCCACAGTGTTTCATTGCACTTTCTGTATGTACAGGTGTATGGCGTACTCAGGGGAAAGGATATCTTCTTTTGTTTTAATTACAATTTAATGACATATTATCATTTTTCGTATCTATAGGTACAGTGTGATTTTTCATTACATGACTACCATGTGTAATGATCCTAACAAGGCAATAAGTACATCCAACATTTCAAACATTTATCATGACTTTTTGTGTTTTTGTTTTTGTTATGAACTTTATTTACATTTGTTGAACTATGAGCTTTGCAAAGGATATACAAATATATCACAGCATTTTTCAGGTAACAGATCGAAAAGTACTTCTAGGTTAGTTGATTGGTTGGTTGGTAAGTGTGAATTATTTTGGAGCTCATTGGAAAGAGACACTTTAGACACAAAGTACTGCAGAATTTTCCTTGCTAATAACACAAAGCTGAGAGAGCAGCCTCTAAAGTCTTTTCTGTGCTCACGTCATAAATCATTACTTTTTAAATGATTATTTATTTATTTATTCCAAGAAAGAGAGATAAATACTTCCAACTGGATTCTCATGCCACAATCCACCCCCAGTTTCAGCCAGCCCTGGTCGTGGGCATATGCATGGTTTGTGTGCCTGACATTTAGTGAAAGAACATCAGGACTCAAACCTAGGACCTTCAAATATGGGTCTAGTAGTGTCACCACTGTAACACCCTCTGATCCCATTCTTACTTTCATGTTGTGAAAAATCTGACATTCTATCTTTTAACATGGAAATTGCCAATTATAGTTACAAAGATACTGAATTTTCAACACACCATCTTTTCTTGGAAAGGGTGCCGTTTCACATTAACTTTAGTGAAAATTTAGGTCAGTGTAAGTCTTATCCTAATTGTAGAATGAAGCAATATTTTTTCTTTGTTAATTGATTTTATACTTCAATAAGCAGGTAAGAGAGTTTATTTTTGTGGGCAGAAGTCATTCCAATCCCCTTAGGAGGTACCTGCTTCTGCATATACAATTACAGAGGTATGAGTTTCTCTTGGAAAATTACAATAACTAGGTAACCTCCTGGATCCCTTCAAAATGGAACAGCTGAAAAAGAGAAAATTATAACTAGATGATGGTATTTCATAAAAGGACATTTTAATGAAAGGAAGAAAATTCCTCTTTTAATAGATAATTACTCTCTTTGAATATAAATAGATTTTGTTGGCTCTGAATAATACAGCCAAAATTACAAAATCAAGAATCTCATGCAGTCAGTATTTTTCCAAAATTTTTAGTTTTTGAAAACCTCACTATAAATGATAAACATTAAAATATAAGTACATAAGAGGTCATTATCAAAGAATCTAGTAAAATACAAAATAAACCCTTAATGTGTTATTTTTCATTTCTAGACAATTCCAGAGCATTGATTATATTTCTGGCATTTCTGATTATTGTGACATCAATAGCCCTGCTGGTTGTGCTCTATAAAATCTATGATCTGCATAAGAAAAGATCCTGGTAAGAGCTGACTTGTGAATTAAAAGTCATAACATAATAATGATGAAAAGCTCATGTATCCATCAGGCTGTGATAGAACCAGTGAAGTAAAGCGTGTAGATTAGGGACGACGGCAGGAAGTCCTGTTCATGATTGAACTCTTGATTGAAGACTTTTAGGGTCGTTTTACTGGCTTATATTAGATATTAATACTTTCTAAATTCACTAATAATGTGATAAATTTGTTTTGGTTAATGACCAATGGGGGAGGGGAAGATTGTGCCTGCTCCAAAGCAAATGAAAGGGAAGAAATAGCTGAAAAAGCAACTATTTCTTTGGCTAGAAACAGGCAAATGTTAGAAATAATGTGAGGTTTAAAGCAAAGTTGTTCAGTCACTTACCTAAGTTTAGCAGAGAACTCCCGACTGGCTGTATTCTCCTCTCACTCTTTCTTTGCTGTCCTCCTGTCTCCCCTCTGGTCTGTCCCCTCTTCAATCCTTTCCCTTCTCCTTTCCCTCCTCCTCCCATTTCTTGTCTCTGTTCTCCTTTTATCCCCCCACCCCCCCCACCTCGATGCCCTCCATCTGTCAATACATTACATATATTGAGTTGTTGGAAAAGTCAGGATGCATTTTTGCATAGAAAAACATAGGAAAATACGTCATGACTTTTGTGAGGATCCAATAAATTGAATGCCAACTGAATTCTGTGGTTTTTTTTAAGAATAGAGAAAACTTATATTTCTTATCTTCACAGCAATTTAGATGAACAAACAGAACTTGTTGAAAGAGGTAAGTATGACATTTTTAATGTATTTATACTTTACTGATTATTAGTCCTTCCCTTATATTTGAATCCATTCATTTTAGGTGAGACTGGGTATCTTTAATGGAACTCAGATCTCCTCTGTAGATGCAATGATGAAACCTGCATTCGTTCCTTGTATCAGCAGGCATCTGTAAAGTTCCCATGTATGCCAAATGTTATGCCAGGCACTGAGAATACCAGAGCTGGCCACAGAATCTGCCCTTTACAGGGCTTAGAATCTATTAGACAGCAGAAATATTGACAAGTGTGACAGTAATTGCATAAATGCTATGGTAGGCAAATATCTATTGTTATGTGGATAAAAGGAAGAAAGAAAACTGAGTGGGGAGGGCAGTGATCTGGTCTGTTAAAACGTAAACCCAACACATGACAGACAATGGCAGGTCACGGAGCTGAGGAGGTGCTCAGTGTCCTCAGTGCCCCAGGGTAGTGGCGGCTGTTCCCACTTTAAAGGTGCTTTTATGGAAAGACCAAAGAACAGCAATTGGACCAAGGAAAACTAGCCATTTTCTTTTTTTTTAATCTCTCTTTATGCAATTCATACATTATTTTTTAAATTTCTCCTTTCTAATGTGATATTTGATTTAGTAAAAGGGGTGGAGTTAAAGAAATAGAAGCTATGATTTTAGCAAAGAAAATTATTCATCTTCTGATACTCAAGGACATTTCAGAACTCCCATCCCATTTTAACTTGTCTTGAAATTTCCCTCTGACAAGTGGAGGCACCACATCTATATGCAGAGGCTTCAGGGCTGATTCTTTGCAGCTCCTCCATAGTTTTCTTTTCCTTTGCAGAAGTGTTACTCCCTGGCACTTATTAACATTTACCCCCTTGTTTGTGAACTATCCTCCCCTAACTCGAGCATCAGCTTTGTGAAAGCAGGGAGGTCTCCACTCCTCATTCACTTCTTTTTACGCATAGTACCTCGGTGAGTGTATGGAGTTGAATAAATACCAACAAATAACTAAATCAATGAGATTCAAGTCTCCTGAAGATTCGTTTTTATAGACCAGGGGAAGAATGAAGACACAAGGGCTACAGGCATGAGAACAAAGGGGAATTTTTTTTTTTGGGGGGGGGTGGGAATATCAACCAAAGTCAAAGAAACATTTTATTATCAAATTGATATTAAGTACATTGTAGAATGTACTGGACCTTAGAACCTCAACCTTGGGCCTGAGTTCAGAACGAATGAATAGCAGAAATCCCCAACAGCCCTAAGCAGCCGTGCCCATGGCCAGAGATCACTGTAACCTCGTAATCAGAGCGAGAGAGTTTCCATGGACAATAAGATAAATGGGCAACTTGCGTGGACACCTTCTTTCTTCATCAGAGAAATAGGAAAATAGATGACTCTTGACATCAATACTACCAGAAGGACATGGAGTAGTAGGAGAAACACTTTTGGTGTATATGACTGCTTAAATAATCTTATTCTACAACTGCTGTTTCTCAAGTTCCATAAAACATTATAGCTTTCCATGATTAATACACATTTTTGCTCTTAAGCAAATTATTCCACAAACATTACATATAATGTGTTTCATGCTCTGGGGTCATAACAGATGAATACACCTTGCTCCAAGGTTCAGAGTCAACATATAATCAAATTAAGCTGAATTGTGGGTGTATGAGTATTAATCATAGTTTTCTTATTTCACCTGCATATTTACAATATTTTTCAAGTTGAAAATGAAAAAAAAATAATTATAGATAAATAGGGTAGTTGCTATAAAATTTATGTATTGAGTTCATCCATACAATGGTGATATTTGGACTGGAATCTTTTCTCTAGGCATAAAAAATAGGAAAGGATATTCTTGAAAGAGGGAATAATTCAAAGCCCAGAAGAGCTGAAGCACAAGATTTAGAAGTCATTGGTTCATAGGTGAATGTTTATATGTGAGGGAAATTTCGCAGGTAGAATGTTTATGAGAATGAAAGACACTGGTATTGAATCCAAGATATAATTTAATTAAATTAGTGCGCATGTGTGAAAGATAGAATAACATTAATCCTGAATCTTTCATATGTCTAAAGATGATGAGAAACAGCTGATGAATGTGGAGCCAATCCATGCGGATGTTTTGTTGGAAACTTATAAGAGAAAGATCGCAGATGAGGGCCGACTGTTTCTGGCTGAATTTCAGGTATGTGCTGTTTTTGGTATTCCATGCGAGACTCTCCTTGGTCAGTAGATAATTGCATTTTACATGTATTTGTGCAAGCGTTGCCCTTTATAATTTATTCCACATCACACTACAGCAGAATCAAAGCAGGTACTGTGTAGTGGGTATATACAGATCAGAAAAGAGATTCACAGATTGACACGCTCATAGTGTGGAGCTAGTAACTATCTGAATATGATGCTGAGTTGTATCATATGATGCTCCGTACAGTTACGAAGTTGTGTCACAAAATATATTTGGACTTTGTACTTGCATTCTAGATAATCATCCAAGAATATGTTTTTAAATGAATTTTAAAGTACCATAACAACTAATCCTAAATTTGCCCTCACTGATGAGATTTGTTCTAAAAGTCATCCATCTTTAACTTTTAAGAAAACACGTGTATTTTTGCATGCTTTCTCATCATGTTAACTTCAGTTACCATATGCAACTCGTTCATCAGTATAAAGAAATTATTTTACAGAATGTATCATTCACTCCAAATGATAACTAGAAAAGGGAAATTTAGTTTCCCAGAATCTGCTATGAGTCAAAGAATCTCTGTGTCTTTCAGAGCATTCCACGGGTGTTCAGCAAGTTTTCTATCAAGGATGCTCGAAAATCTTTTAATCAGAATAAAAACCGTTATGTTGACATTCTTCCTTGTAAGTACTCATTGGGAACCGAATCTCTATTTACTGAGGCTGCTTGAGGATTCATGATTTCACTTAGCTGTTTTTCTTTTCTTTCAACAGATGACTATAACCGTGTTGAGCTCTCTGAGATAAATGGAGATGCAGGCTCAAACTACATAAATGCCAGCTACATTGATGTAAGTAGAAATGTATAACTATAAAATGATTTTACAGGCTCATCATTTTGTCATTGATAATTTCCATTTTTTCTTGTAGTTACATATTCCATTTAACTCCTTCTTTGTCTTGGCAAAATTTTGGAAGTGTTATTAAAAATAAGCCTGCAGTGTCAGGCTTATTTACACAACAAAGTCACTGATATTGCAAGAATAGTTCTTTATCATGCACCTGTTGGTACTACTTGTCACAGTTTTTCTCTACAAACAAAATCACACCAAGAATTAATACCCTCCTGGTCCTTAGCATATGTCAGATATAAGACTAATTGATCTGTGCACGTCTTTCTCAAAGAGCTTATTTGTCCTGGCTATGTAAACTTTGGTCACTGTCTAGGGAAGAACTAGGAGGCTCAGGTTAATTAGTTTCCTTGTCCTTATTCACACCATTGGTAAAGTTTGAGTTAAGAGTCAAGCCAGATCTGCCTGACTCCACATTGCTTTGTTTCGGTTACACAACCCTGCATCTCCACATGGATGCTCTTCATTGATACGGATCACCTGTTCATTGTATGTATCAAAAAATGTAAATAGCCGTACATGCCTAATGTATCTAGCATCTTTAAAAATTTAACTTATGATATAATTTAAAAAGCTATGCTTTACAAAAGTTAATTTTGTAAAGAAAATACTGACATTTATCCCCCTTTACACAAAAATGTTAACATAATATTTGTACTGTTCTGTACCATGTTTTGTACACATTTTGTAAAGAAAATACTGACATTTATCCCCATTTACACACAAATGTTAACATAACATTTGAACTGTTCTGTACCATGTTTTGTACATATCTGGGATGTGTGTATGTGTGTGTGTAATCACTCTAAAAACCAGAGGTCAAGAAACTTTTCCTGTGAGAAACCAGATAGCAAATATGGTGTAGCCATGGCAGGATATAGCATCTCTGTCACCTCTGCTCAGCTCTGCAGTTGGGTGTCCAGGCCTCCACAGACAAGTCCTACTGTGTCCATGTTATGAGAGACCTTTCGTTACAAAATCGAGCCTGAGTGGATTTAGGCCACGGGCTATCGCTTGCTGATGCTGCACCCTGGAGCATTTCTGCATCTTTCTTTTGTGTTTTCATAGTAATGCATGGTATAGCTGCACGGTTTTTCAGTCAGTTTTCACATTAATGGCCATTCAATATGATTTCAGTCTTCTGCTACTGCAAGCATGGTGTAATGAAAATCACACTTATTTCACAATGGGTTTCCATATGCCTGTAGATTGCATCGTCTTAGCTTTGAGTGGCTCATGGCTGTCCTTGGTGTTCTGGAGCTGATGGCTGCATCCCTTTGCTCTCTGCCTTCGTTTTCACATGTGACATCTTTGTCCCTTTGTGTCTAGGTCACCGTGTTTGTCCTTCTCTTCTCTCTCTCTCTCTTAATGAGAGAGATAGATTTTTGACGGTCCTGCCTTGTCACAGTCCCCCTGCTCCAGTGTCCCAGATGGCTAAGATTACAGGCAGGCACTGCTACTTCTGGCCTCTTTAGGTGGGACGAGGAATCACACCCAGGACTTCCACGCAGCCTCAGCCTCTGTGAAGCAGTGTCTTCGCAGTGTGTAAAACGCCATGGCTGAGTCTCCTTCACTTATAAAGGCATGAGTCATTGTATTTAGGGCCCACCCTCATCCAGTATGACATTATTTTAACTAAACACATCCACAAAGACACTATTACAAATAAGGGCACATTCTGTGACATTCGGAGTGGACATAAGTATTCTGAGGGGAGTATAATACTCAGTTTACTACACATAGTTTATATAAAATTATACAATAATGTAGAGATATTTACTAGTTAAAGTATTCATTCATTATATATATATATATATAATCTTTAATATCTGTGTCCTTATTCTTAATAAAGTTCTTTTTTGAGACAGCTAGTGATTTTCCAGAATAAAAGTAACATCACTGATCATGATGACTATCACGAGAAAAATAATATTGTAATGATTATCCATTTGCTTTTTATCAGTCATCATTTAAAGTGTATTAATTCAATTAAAGTTCACAGCCCTATCAGCTGCTCCCATTTTGCTACTAGAAGCAGAACTGGCATTTTTCTTTCTCCTCCAAGCATTTTGTCTCTAAAGACAGCATGCTAGACCTTGCGTACTGTCGGCTTTGTTTGATATATAACACGGTTTGTGGCCTTGCTCAGTACTGGCCCTGGAAATTCTATCCTAGGCAACAGATATCTCTTT